TAGCACAGAAGTCCCAACTTTGGCCACTTTATGACGTGTGGACTTCAGTTCCCATGCTGGCTGAGGAATTCTGGGAGTTGAAGTCCACAAGTCATAAAGTGACCAAGGTTGGGGACCTCTGCTCTAGCACAGTGGTTCTCAACCTTTTTAATGCCGCGACCCCCAACTGGTCGTAAGTCGAGGACTACTCAACCGGTCGTAAGTCGAGGACTACTCAACTGGTGCAGCACCGTTTGCAGAATGGGACTTTTGGCGGGCTCAGCAGGGCAGAGACAGCCTGGACAATTCCCATTGGCTTTTGAAAGCCAATAGAATTAGACTCTATTCAAGAGAGTCTATTCTATTGGCTTTCAAAAGCCAATAGAATAAAAGGGAGTAGCACAGCTAAGGAAAAGGGGGGGAAAAATGGCGGACTGCGTTGTTTGGTGACCCCCGTGAAATGGTCATTCAACCCCAAATGGGGTCCCGACCCACAGGTTGAGAACCACTGTTTTATGCATTAGGCATTATTTCATTTCAAGGCCACCTAGCACGCTTTTAAAGAAGGCAACAAACATCACAGAAAGCGTACGAAAGAGCCAGTGTTGTGGTTTCGTCTCTCCTCCCCACTATTCCTTTTTTGTTCTTTATTCTATAACAGCCCCTCTGGGAAATAAAAGTCAAGTTTTTCAAATCATTCTTCCAAACCTCCTTTTCATTCTCATACTCGAGGGCCCGAAGGCCAAAATGACTTTCTCTACCTAATGGATTTTTTTTTTTCATTCATCAGCACAGAATGAAAACAGAAAGAGGGAAAAATCTATTTTAGAAAATCAAGGGAGCAGAAAAGTCCACAATATATGTGGTGGTTGTGAGAGGACGTCGAAGTTTCAATTGCACCATCTGGCCATATTTTGACCTGCTTCTTAGCCACGTTCTGTGGAGACCCCTGAAGAAGAGTCACCTTTTGTGAACTAGTGTCTGAAATGGGCAGATGGGGTTTTGGGGGGTTAAGTGGTTTTTTATTGGGGGGGGAACGAGAAAAAAAAAGCACACACCAGCGTGGAGTCCAATAAAACTATTTTATAAATAAAAACACATTGGAAGTTTTCAATTTATATAAAACCAAGAAAGAGGAGGTAAGGCAATATGCGTGATGGGAAGGTAGCACCAAAGTTGAAGGAAGAGAACCAAAGGGAAGGAACCAGCCAGAGATGGAGGGGTGAGGTTGACGTGTGTGTGTGTGTGTGTGTGTGTGTGTGTGTGTGTGTGTGTGTGTGTGAAGGGGGGTTGTCAAGGTTGCCTTTGTGGCAAAAGAGACATAAAAAAATGGCAGCAGATAAAATTAGGGGTGATGGCCTGAAAGAAAATACTGTGAATCGAAAGGGGACAAAGAAACTGCAGAACATTTAAAAACGACACAAAAACAACATAATCCTTGAGTCTAAGGAAACCCATATATATGACTGTTGACCCGGAGGACAATTTTCAAAGCCTCAGGGAATGCAAGTGTGTGAACGGAATTGCACAATCCTTGTACAGTGAAGGGAGAGGACCTAGTGTGGGATTTGCACTTAACCAAAGGACTTTCAGGATAGCACTTACTATGTGGGGTTTCTCTGTCCCCTTCTTCTAGGCCAAAGGTAGGCAATCTTGGCTCTTTTATGACTCATGGACTTCAACTCCCAGAATACTTCAGCCAGCCATGCTGAGGAGAAAGGGAGAGGTTTCCAAGCTAAGCCAGGCTGGCTCAGGAATTCTGGGAGTTGAAGTCCACCAGTCATGAGGGGGCCATAGTTCCCCCATGCTGGCTCAGGAATTCTGGGAGTTGAAGTCCACAAGTCATAAAAGAGCCAAGGTTGCCTACCTCTGTCCTAGGCCTAGGCCACTTTATGACTCATGGACCAACTCCCAGAATTCCTGAGGCAGCCATGCTGAGGGGAAAGGGAGAGGTTTCCAAGCTGAGCCACATTGGCTCACGTATTCTGGGAGTTGAAGTCCACGAGTCATAAAGGGGCCATAGTTCCCTCATGCTGGCTCAGGAATTCTGGGAGTTGAAGTCCATGAGTCATAAAAGAGTCAAAGTTGCCTGCCCCTCGCCTAGGCCTAACATTTGCTGTTCCTTCACCCATAAAGAGAAGGAAAGTAGAAGTTCTAAATCCTAAAAGCAAATCCGGCGTAAAGGGCAAAACCACAGAGACTTTTTTTCCCCCCCTACACCAACTCTACTCCTCTCCCCGACTTAAAAAACAAAACAAAACAAAAAAAAAACACCAGGTGGTCCTCAAGTTGCCACGACTGGAATCAATCTGAGTTGCTAAGCAAGGCAGCTAAGTGAGTCACACCCACTTTTGTGACTTTTTCTCTCCCTTTTTTTTTTTGCGACGGCTGTTAAGCAAATCGCCCCACTTGTTAAACGAAGGACGTGGTCGCTAAGCGAATCTGATTTCCTCCATGCATTTCGCTTGTCGGAAGTCGGCTGGAAGATTGCAGACGGCAATCACACACCACCCCTGGGGGACAACGCAGCCATCATATATACTACATTATCTGTTACCAAACGTCTGAATTTTGACCCGTGGCCATGGGGATGCTGCGACAATAGTTAACATTGACGGGGTTATTAGTCACTTTTTTCAGTGCCGTTATAACTTCAAATGGTCACTGAAGGATTGTAAGGCAAGGACTATTTGTAATAGTTTTGCTGTCAGCCAGCACCGTTTCCCAGCCCCTTCCTTTCCTTCACTACTTCACAACAGACTGACAGAGGTCTGTGGAGATTTCTAGTCATCCGGGTCAGTCATCCCAAAGATGCTTTTTCAGGAGGCAACTGGACTTTCTTGTTTTTCTTTGAAGACGTTTCGCTTCTCATCCCAGAAACTTCTTCAGCTCTGACTGGATGGTGGGGAATGGAAGGATTTATACTCCTTACGGACAGCTGGTCATTTGCCTCCTTTTAGAGAGTCGTTGAGGCCACCTGGAGGTTTACCTGTGTTGGCCTCAATGACCCTCTAAAGCAGGGGTCTTCAAACTTGGCCCTTTTATGACTTGTGGACTTCAACTCCCAGAATTCCTCAGCCAGGCACGTGTGCCTAGCTGAGGAATTCTGGGAGTTGAAATCCACAAGTCATAAAAGGGCCAGGTTTGAAGACCCCTGCTCTAAAAGAAGGTAAATGACCAGCCGTCTGCAAGGAACATAAATTCTTCCATTCCCCACCATCCGGTCAGACTGAAAGATGGGTATTCTATTCAAACACAGCAGGAATGAAGGTGAAATGGGAACCTGAGAGGTGCTGGACTGGATGTGGCCTTAGACCAGCAAATTCTGGCCTATGGTTCTACAAAGGCCAGGCCAGCCGGATCAAATAGGCTCACCATAAAACACCTACTTATTATTCTTGGCTAACAGTCAAAGAACGTAGGCTTATTGGAATTGCAGCATCTCACAGAAGGGACGAGAGCTCACAAAACATCCACACCCACACCTTTCAGCAAGACTGATGGCCATGCCCACCATACCTAAGGGGAGGGGGGGGAATTCATTGTAGAGCAGTTTAGGTGCACTCCTAACACAGTACAAAGGCCAAAACCTAGCCAAACGAACCAAACAGAAATTTGCCTCTAGGTAAAAAACCAAAACAATGCAGCCAGATATACTAGAAAGTCACTTGGCATGATTATGGCATTTTTTTTTTTTCCTGGCAGAGGTGGAACCTATGAGTTCTTTTCTTGCAAAGTAAATGCCACTTCCACTTTTTCTCTTATGGCATTTCAAAGGCCAAGAAACAGCTGGGTTTAACCGCCATCGTTTTAAGTTCCCCAAGTGTCGCTCTTGAGTGTTGGGGTCTCCGGACTCGCTCTTCACAGTGAGGCTTGACAGATGGACACTGAAGCAAAGGAACTCTGGACCACATACCCATGACATGATCCTGCACAGGAAGCAGGCAAGCAAGAGCCAACCCCCACCACTAAAGGGGGAATGCCACAAACGAGCTCCTTAGATGGAGTCACACCACGTATGAGTGTAGGTAAAGCAGGGTAGGGTAATCACAGCATGTGGCAGCTCCTAGCTGATCTCCAAGCAACTAAGTGAGTGGACCTGGTTAGTGCTTGGATAGGTCAGTAGGAAATCCATGTTGATGCCGAACTAGGAAGTAAGGCAGCAATATCCCAGGAGAATAAGGAAGCTACTTGGATGAGTCCACGAAGTCATCAAGATTTAAGTCATAAGAATCTTTTGTTTGTGCTTCAGTGTGTTGCGGGTACCCAGCCCTTGAGGATCAGAATTTGAGTGTCCGTATTTCAGCGGCGGGATGAGGTCGGAGAGCAATACCTGGAATACCTGGCTGGCAAATCTCAGTTGTTTGTGCAATAATTATTCCCTTGGATGTGCTAGCCACTTAGAAGGAATAAGCATCATCGCCCTCCTGCCTTGGAAGATTTTAAAAGCCGCTGTCCAGATCGTCCCACTTCAAAACCGAGAGGAAGTTTGATTTGTTAAAGGCAGGAAGCGGAAGTTGCATTCTGCGACCAGTACTATTTTTTTTAAAAAAAAAAAAAAAAGTCTACATACAACCAGAAAAACTTTGTGACTCCCAGAAAAATCATGCCGAAGGGATTAAGGAAGGGAGAGAAACGAAAGAGCGTCAAACCCTTACGCAATCTCTCAGAAGTCAGTCCTCCCCATTCAGGGATAATTGTGTTGTTGTTTTTTCCTCTTTGTATTGGGATTGTTTTGATCAAAAAAAAAAAAAGGAATGAAGGTGGTGCCGATCCACCCAGCAATGAAAGGGAAAGAACCAATGATGGGATTTAAAACGAAATAAAGAGGGCAAGACGGGTGATGGGAAGGAACTCAACATCTCGAATAGAGATGGAAGACTGTTTTAAGTCTGCGAAAAAAAGTGGTGGCAGAGAGAATTCTACTGATACATCCACTGGCGCAGGAACAGCAGCGTAACCCAAACGTGTGATTCACGGTCATCGCTGGTGTTCCAAAAAGCAAGCAACCCTGGGTTTTGGATAAGTTTCCTTTGCATTTACTCAATGGTGTTACAGGATATTTTTTTCCCAGAAGAAAGCCACGGTCCTTCCGTTCTGGATATCTTGAGGAAGCTAGCCTTGGCGTGGAGACAGTGTCCTGGCCCTCTCCCCCTGGACGTCTTCCAGACATCAGGCATCCCAAAAAACCAAGTTTAGCCTCCAGCATTTCCCCAGGAAAACCTTCATCCCAATTTGAGGAGCACAGCTTCAGCGAAGAAGGGGAGGTCGCCACCATTCAGCAGGTCCATCTCAAGAGTCCCGCGGGAGAGACCAGGCTGCTGCTGCTGGCGAAGAGGGACACACAGTTGGGAGCTCAGCCCTGCTTCCCTCCCGAGCTGATGGATAAGGAGGGACATCTTCCAACTAAGCAGGCTGAAAGGGCTCTGTGTCTTCCTCCTGGACAGCAGGAGGGACCAAACCACCACCACGTGCCGCGGCTCTCCCCACGCCACGGCTGGCCGGCTCAAAGGAAGTCAAAGACCCCATAATTCTTGGCTGCTCGGCAGAGAGGAACACAAGAGGGGCGAGGAGGAGAAAGAGGGCAGGCGTTTAGGGATGGCGGCGTGGAAAAAAAACAACAACAACGGGCGAGCGGCAGAGGTCCTGGAGCAGGTAGTGGATTAATGGGTTAGCGTGCAGGTTAACAGGTAAAAATACAAGCTGGGTTAGGGCTGTTCTTTGCTGCAATCACAGGTGGGGACGGAGGGGGGGGTGTTGTTCGGGAGAAGCTGCTGGAGACACTTGCGGGAGAGATTAGAATCAAACAGTTTAGTTCGGGGGTCCCTCACGCCCCAACCGCAGCCCACTATGTGGCTCATCTGGAACCAGGCCGCGTGAGCAGTTGGCTGGCGCACACACGTGTGCACAGCTCAGCTTGCACCAGGGGCAGGACGGTTCCCCTCCCCCCCCAACCCCCTCCCCCCCGGGCCATCAAACTGTAAAGGTTGGGGACTGCTATTTTAGTTCATTTGATTTCCTCAAATACCAAGTCAAAAAAAAAAAACCCAAAACAAAACAGAGAGAGAGAGAGACAAGAGACATATGCTCTTTCTAGGAAACAAACCAACTTGGGGGGGCCCAAACAAGCAGAGGGAGGGAGGGAGGGAGGGGTGGAGGGAGGGATCTTCACATTACATCCACAAAAAACTCACTGGGGTTGCCCATGGCCATTCGGAATGACTGTCTACTGGCGGTCAGTTCAGGGGGCACCGAGGCCAGATCTCGGCCCGGGGGAGCCCCGGGTGGTCCCAGGGTGGAAGGGGGTGGTGGCATCAGGAGCATGGGAGGGCTGTAGAGAGGTGGGAGGCCGGGAGGGCCGTAAGACTGCTGGCTGTGGTGGCTGCGCACGCTGTGAGCCATGGAGTGGTGGCTCCGTTGGCTGGCGGGCAAGGAGCACTCGCTGGCCGCTCGCTCCCGCCGAATGCTGCTGCGGCTGGTGTGGTCGGATTCGCTGCCGCTACCGCCTGACTTGGATTCCCCGGCCTTGGGGTCTCGGTCCTTCCTTCTCTCGCTACCACTGCGGTTTGAACCGCTGCTGCGGCTTCCTGCACAAGGAGGAACAATTCAGAGGGGTTAGAGGATTGTGTTTCTCAACTGTGGCAGCTTGAAGATGGGTGGACTTCCAACTCCCGGAATTCCCCAGCCAGCGTCGTTTATACTCTCTTGTAATCCCTCCCTCTGCAATCTCTCCACTTTAGAGGGATTATAAGAGAGTATAAACCAGTGGTTCTCAACCTGTGGGTCGCGACCCCATTTGGGGTCAAACGACCATTTCAAGGGGGTCGCCAAACAATGCAGTCCGCCATTTTTTTCCCCTTTTCCTTAGCTGTGCTACTCCCTTTTATTCTATTGGCTTTTGAAAGGCAATAGAATAGACTCTCTTCAATACAGTCTAATTCTATTGGCTTTGAAAAGCCAATAGGAATTGTCCAGGCTGTCTCTGCCCTGCTGAGCCCGCCAAAAGTCCCCTTCTGCAAACGGTGCTGCAGCAGTTGAGTAGTCCTCGACTTACGACCGGTTGAGTAGTCCTCGATTTACGACCAGTTGGGGGTCGCGGCATTAAAAAGGTTGAGAACCACTGGTATAAACGATGCTGGCTGGGGAATTCTGGGAGTTGGAAGTCCACCCATCTTCAAAGAAATATTGAATTTAGAAGACTTACCATGTTTAAGCTGGGGGACTCCGTGGGAAGAGGCAAGCCAGCAGTGACTAAATACACATTCTGCTTTGCTACACCAAGTCAGAAATCCCGCATTCTCTGCCAAAATTACCCAATACAGGCCGTCCTTGACTTACCATGGTTCATTCAGCTCAAAGTTACCCCGGCTCTGAAAAAAGGGACTTGGGACTGTTTTTCACAGCTACGGCTTCGGCAGCCACCCCCAGGACCGTGTGATCGAAATCCAGATGCTTGGCAATTGGCTCACACTTAAGACCCGTTTTACTGTGTCCCGAGGTCATGCGACCCCCTTTTGCGACCTTCTGACAAGCGAAGTCAGCGGGAGACCCGGATTTCGCTTCACCACCGCGTTCCTAGCTTCACAACTGCAGTGATTCGCTTAACAACTGTGGCGAGAAAGGTCGCAAAATGGAGCCAGGCTCTCTTAACAAATGGCTCGCTTAACCACAGGAAGTTTGGGCTCAACTGTGGTCGTTAAGTCGAGGACCACCTGTGCATGCCCTCAACAATGGTTGGAAAATGATCAGAGAGAGAAGCAGAGGAGAAAAACCCTAACGGTGAGGACAATTGACCAGTGGAACAGCTTGCCACCAGAAATCGTGGGCGCTCCATCACTGGAGATTTTTAAGAAGAGACTGGACACCTGTCTGAGATGGTGTAGGTTTATTTATTTATTTATGAGACTTATATACCGCTTTAAGTGCAAGCACTCTCTAAGCGGTGTACACCAGTAAGCAATGTATATATATATATATTTACATTGCCCCCAACAATCTGGGTCCTCATTTTACCTACCCCGGAAGGATGGAAGGCTGAGTCAACCTGAGCCGGTGAGATTTGAACCGCTGACCTGCTGAACACAGTCAGCTAAAGTGGCCTGCAGTACTGCACTCTAACTGCTGCGCCACCTCGGCTCTTTCTTGAGCAGTGGGCTAGACTAGAAGACCTCCAAGGTCCCTTCCAGCTCTATTCTATTCTGTTCTGTTCCGTTCCGTCCCATCCTGTCCCGTCCCGTCCCATCCCATTATCCTATCCTATCCTATCCTATCCTATCCTATCCTATCCTATCCTATCTTATCCTTGTATTCTATTCTACCTTATTTTATCCTATCCTATTTTATCCTATCCTATCCTATCCTATCCTATCCTATCCTTCTATTCTATCCTATCCTATCCCATCTCATCCTATTATCCTATCCTATCCTATCCTATCCTATCCTATCCTATCCTATTCTATTCTATTCCTCAGAAGCAGAACATAAAGACATTTGTGCCCCACCCCATCCTTGGAGCCAGAGCAGACAAAGATGCTGTGAATCAAACAACTTTTTCCAGGGTACACCACAACAGAAAAAAGGAGCCAAGAAATAAAATGATGAAATGATTAGAGTTAGGCTAACCTTGGCATCGTCCATCTATTCTCTAGGACAGAATTACAGCTCTTTGTGAGCACTGCAGAAAGTACAGGCCAATGACTTGGCATGTTCTCCAGCAAGAATACACAAGTTGTTTGGACAACAACAACTTTGAACTCTTTGCCCGCTTGGAAGCAGGCTGAAAACAAAAGGATCTCTCTCACTCTCTCTCTCTCACTCTCTCACTCTCTCTCTTTTTAACAAGCCAACATTCACATTCCATTTTTCCACTCCTCTAAGCCACCCAAAGTGACTTACAGCCTTAAAAACCATGAGACATTGAAGAAAAAGAAATACATGTAGTCCTCAACTTACGGACCACAATTGTGGCCGGCCTTCCTGCTGCTAAGCGAGACATTTGCTAAGTGAGTTTTGCCCTCGTTTTACAACCTTTCTTGCCACAGCTATTAAGCAAATGACTGCACTTGTTAAGTTAGTCACACGCTTGTTAAGTGAATTTGGCTTCCCCGTTGACTTTGCTTGTCAGAATGTCGCAAATGGTGATCACACAACCCTGGGACATTGCGACCATCATAAATACGAGCCAGTTGGCAAGAATCTGAATTTGGAATCACGTGACCCAGGGACGCTGCGACCGTCACAAATATGAATCAGTGCCAACCGTCTGAACTTTGAACATGTGACTGTGAGGATGTTGCAACGGTCGTAAGTGTGAAAAATGGTCCTAGGTCACTTTTTTCAGTGTCAATTTAATTTCGAACATTCACTAAAGCAGGGGTAGGCCACCTTGCCTCTTTTATGAAGCGTGGACTTCAACTCCCAGAATTCCTGAGCCAGCCACGCTGAGGGGAAAGGGAGAGGCTTCCAAGCTGAGCCATGCTGGCTCAGGAATTCTGGGAGTTGAAGTCCACGAGTCATGAGGGGGCTATAGTTCCCCCATGCTGGCTCAGGAATTCTGGGAGCTGAAGTCCACGAGTCATAAAGCAGCCTAGGCCTAGGCCAGAGATAGGCAACCTTGGCTCTTTTATGACTCGTGAACTTCAACTCCCAGAATTCCTGAGGCAGCATGGCTCAGCTTGGAAACCTCTCCCTTTCCCCTCAGCATGGCTGGCTCAGGAATTCTGGGAGTTGAAGTCCACGAGTTATAAAAGAGCCAAGGTTGCCTACCCCTGCACTAAATGAACCATGGTTGTGTGGAAAACTACCTGTAATCATATGACAAGTAAAACATTCCAGTTGGAACAATAGACAGACCGCTGAAAGGGCTGTTAAAATGGAGAGCCACTTCGGTCTAACAGTGATGGCACCAGGCTAAAAACCAGGAGATTCGCCCTATAACCTGATTTTAATGAAGCCCTGCTACAAACTATAGCTTTATTCGCCATCATTGCTCAACAGATTCACCTACATTTATTTCCTCCAATGTCTAAGCTCGGCCCACTCACCAATGACTCTGGGCAGCTGACAGAAAATAAGAAAGGAAAGATCAGTGTTGACTTAAAAGTCTCTTGTTTTTAATTTAACAGATTGCTCACATGTACTATATTGTTTGTTCCTAATGGTGATGGAGTTCATTCACTTGCTACCCATGTTTCATAAATAAATCTGACACTGCTATTTCCCAGTGAACGGAAACCAATCCACCATCTACCCAATCCACCTGCATGTATTTATTTAATTCGTTAAACTTTATTTGCTACTTCTCTCACCATGGGTCTAATTCTAGACGGCTTACATGGCTTGAAGTCAGACGATTTGAAGAAATGCCTCTCCCCTATTAGAATCCTGCATCCAGTTTTGGTCTCCACTATCTAAAAAATATGTTAAGACTCTAGAAAGAGTGCAGAGAAGAGCAACGAAGATGATTAGGGGGCTGGAGGCTGAACTATATGAAGAACGGTTGCAGGAATTGAGTACGGCTTCTCTAGAGAAAAGAAGGACGAGGGGGGACAGGATAGAAGTCTTCCAATATCTCAGGGTTTGCCATGAAGAAGAGGGAGTCAAGCTGTTCTCCAAAGCGCCTGAAGGCAGGACAAGAAACAACGGATAGAAACTGACCAAAGAGAGAAGCAACCTGGAACTAAGGAGGAATTTCCTGACAGTGAGAACAATTATTCGGTGGAACAACCTGCCTCCAGAAGTTATGAATGCTCCAACACTGGAAGTTTTTAAGAAGAGACTGGACAACCACTTGTCTGGAATGGTATAGGGCTTCCTGCTTGAGCAACGGGTTGGTCTAGAACAGGGGTGTCAAACTCAATTTCATTGAGGGCCGCATCAGCATTGCGGTTGCCCTGGGGAGGGGCGTGGGGGTGTGTGGCCAGGGTGGGTGCGGCCTACTGGGTGGGTGTGGATGAGTGGGTGTGGCCTAGTGGGTAGGCGTGGCCAGCTCTACATCATTCACGTCAAGGGTGCCTGTGGGGGCCTGGGCAGGAGTGGGACAGATCTGAGGGTCTCTGGCAGAACGGGGTGGGACCAGGGCAAGTGCCAAGGCATGGCCCACTGGAGGAGCCTCACTGTTCCTCTCAGGCCATGTGGGGGGGGGGGGCTGGATGGTGGTGCGAGCTGCCCAGAGCCCTGGGCAACAGAGGTCAAATGCCCAGCCTGGCCCTCGAGCACCTGCGGCACCAAGCCCAGCCCCACTTCCCCAAGGGGGCACCCAGCTGCACTTACGTCCTCAAGGCTGCTGCTGCTGTGCTTGCTCTCCTTAGCGAGGTTGCTCATGATGGGCACGAGGGCAAAGTCAGAGGGAGGCCCATTCCCTCCCAATGGAAGGAGACCTGGCTTTGTATCCAAAGCTTCCTTAGCAATAGGGTGGGAGACCCCCAGGATAGGCCAGGAGGAGGGGGCAAGGGGATGTTGAAAGGGCAGCAGGGCAGAACGAAGGCAGGAATTCCCTCAGACCCTCCCTCTCCTTTCCTTCTTTCCTTCCTTCCTTCCTAAGAACAGAGTGGTGGGAAAATATTTGAGATGAGGGAGGGAGAAAGACAGGCAAGAAATGCAGCTGGGGAGGTGTCACCCTTTGTGAGGAATGAAGAAATGCACCATCGCCTGGAAGTGGCCAGCTCATGGCCCTCACCTACTTCACATATCTGGCTTGGTGAGCTCTGGGGGAGGGGATGCCATGAGCAGTGTGAGAGTCAACATTACCTGTGCAATGCCGCCCAGCCCCCAGCCTGCCCGGTTTCGGTAGGCAGCGGGGCGCTCTCCTCACAGCGCCGAGAGGCTGAGCCGAGTAACACAAATCCAAAAAGAAGCGCAATGCCACCCAGCCCTTAGCCTGCCCGGTTTCGGGAGGTAGCGGGGCACTCTCCTCACAGTGCCAAGTGGTTGAGCCGGGGGGGGGGGTGCGAAGCTCGCCAACTTTGCACCTTGCTGCCTGCTGAAACTGGGCAGGCTGGGGGCTAGGCAGCATTGCACTTCTCATCAGATTTGCGCCACCCGGCTCAGCTCTTGGCGCTGTGAGGAGAGCGACCCGCTGCCTGCTGAAACTGGGCAGGCTGGGAGCTGGGCGGCCTTGCGTTTCTTTTTGGATTTGTGTTACCCGGCTCAGCCTCTCAGCACGTAAGGAGAGCGCCCCGCTGCCTGCCAAAACCCCTCCCCCAGAGCCCATCAAGCCAGATATGTGAAGTAGGCGAGGGCCATTTGCTGGCCACTTCCAGGCAATGGTGCATTTCTTCATTCCTCACAAAGGGTGACACTTCCCCAGCATGCACCCAGAGGGCAGGGCCGACGCGGCAGGGGCTGGTTCCTCGCTGTTTCCAGACGGCCTTGTGGAGCTAAGACTGAATGCGTTTCAGCATAGATGGCCACCACAAAATTGTGCATTGGCTCCCGGCCGGCCTGGGCCAGGGCCAAGGCAGCGGGGGGCAGTTCCCTCACTGTTTCCAGGATGGCTTCGCAGGCCACATGAAACCACTTCACGGGCCGCATCCGGCCCCCAGGCCTTGTGTTTGACAGGTCTGGTCTAGAAGATCTCCAGGATCCCTTCCACCTCTGTTATTCTGTTATCTACCTGGCCCACCTGGATGGAGTATGTTACAGGAATGGTCATCGATTAGGGATGCTCATCTGGTGGGACCACAGAAAGGGGTCTTCTCGGTGGTGGCCCTTTTTTTTATGGAACATCACTTTCCTCCGAGATACGGTTGGCCACCACCCGATTGCTTTTCCAAAAGTCTCTTAAAAACGTGGTTTTTGTCAGTGGGCCTGGGGTCCACGAATGGGGCCACTCAAGCGATTCATTTGACTGTGTTGTTGCTGCCACTGAGGGAGAGATGTTACGGGGTTTTATTCTATTTTTTTTTTTTTTTAATTTTGTAAGCCGCTTGGAGCCACCCATGTGTGAGTAAAATAAATAATATATTTCTGGCTTTCAGCTCACAGGGAACAATCCAGTTCGCAATCACGACTTTTTCACAAATTTAGGAACAGCTTTGAAAAGCTCCTAATGGGGCAGCTTTATACTGGAGGACGGTTAAGGAATTAAAACTTAACCCCCACCTCCCTCCTCCGTGTGTCCGGCTCCCTCTTTTGCCCTCTTGTGTTAATGATTTTACCTGGTAATTATTTTACCTGCTGGGTTCTTTCTGTTATGATTGATGGTTTTAATGGTTTTTTTTAGTTTTTATATGCTGTAAGCCGCTCAGAGTTGTTGGATACAAGATGGGCGATAAATGAATGAATGAATGGCAAAGGTCCATAGGGATATCCTGGAATAAATGACCAATCTAGAATAAGGATGCAGCAAGTGAGATTTTTTTCAATGGTCAAAAGCTAAACTCATTCATTGGTTAAGAGGGAACCTGAGTGTCCAGAAGGAAGAGGCTGTTTCCCCAATCGAGATTTTGGATGGAGTGTCACCTTACATCTTTTCTTTAAAGTTGGTCACTTCTAAAGAGAGACTCTAAATCAGGGGTCCCCAACTCCCGGCACTGGTCCGCAGCATGCCAGCAACTGTACCCCGCCAACAAGCAAAGCTCCATCCACCATATGCAGGCAGCATACAAAGCCACACCTCCTCTAGTCGGTGGAAAAACCTCTCTCTATGGAACCGATCCTTGGTGCCCAAAAGGTTGGGGGCCTCTGCCCTAGATCAGGGGTCCCCAATGCAAAGGGGAGGGATGCCTTTACACGCACGTGTGTGCTCGAAGGGGGCTGAAAGCGCACGCACGAATGGGGCCACGATTGCGCACACGATGTGGGGGGGAGGCGTGTGCGCTCTCAGCGACGATGGCGTCCGCATGCCGCCGCAATGCTAGTGCTCACGATACTAGCTAGTGCATACACGCTGGCCAGCCCCTCAGGTGGCCCAGTGGCCAACAGCTCCCGGCCAGGTAGTAGACTGCGGCCCACAGTTTGGGGACCTCTGCCCTGGATGACAGCCATGGTACAATTCCCAGCTCAGGCAGACAAAAGAAGCGCCATCTTCTAGCAGGCTTGAAGGCAGAGCAGAAGGTATGGTAGATGCTTACCTTCACTGTGCTGGCTACCTGCGCTGCCCCCTCCGTAGCTGTAACCTGGCTCAGGAAATCCAGGATGTGGGTTGTAGGGGTGTGGAGGGGGATACTGGTAAGGAAAAGCTATAGGCCAGGGGGCCGCTCCTGGGTGGGGTAACGGGGCCAGCGTGTCCTGGTCGGAGGCCCCACTCGATCCATCGTGGTCATGCAAGGAGAGGTTGGCCATATCTGCAAGAAGAAAGAGGCACAAAAAAACCCCCAGCAAAGGTTAAATCAGCAGTCCCCAATCTTCCCGGCTTTGCGGACTAGCAGTGGGGGGGGGGAGGATGGTTACATGCAAGCTTAACGCTCAGCTACAAATATTCTCCTTTGTTGTGATTATTTTATCAGTGGCCCCATCCCAAGACGGAAGAAAAAGACAAGGAGACGTGCAGGATTTAGCAATCCACTCGGGCTCTGCTCTGCACAGCGTCTCCCTGTCGCTTGTTCAGGATAAGGGTGCCTTCTGCAACTCCTCACCCCGCCCATCGGGATCACCCGTCTGCTTTTTTTTTTCCCCCCTTTCCTGCTAAATCATCTTTTTCTGCTAAATCACCCCTTCCTTCCTTCTCAAACACTTCACAGGCAAAAATGTCTTTAACTGAAAACACTCTGCTTTGATCACTGGGCTGCAGCCAGCTTGAAAACACCCAAATAGGCCGTTCAAATGAATTCTGGAACATTTTCAAGCAAAGCAAAGAAAAAAACAGACAAAGAAAAGAAGCATCCCAGTCAGCTTGGAATGGTTCCAAAATGATCAAAACTCCCTGTTTCAAGATGAAAAAGTTTTGAGTTTGAACTACAGGCGGTCCTGGACTTACAACTTTTCTTTTAGTGACCATTTGAAGTTAGGACGCTGAAAAAAGGGACTTAATGACCACTTTTTCCACACTTAGGACCACTGCGGTGTATCCCTGTGGTCATGTGATCAAAATTTAGTCTGTTTGGCAACTGACTCCTAATTTATGACTGTTGCAGTGTCCTGGGGTCATGTGATCCCCTCCTGCGACCTTCTGACAAGCAAAATCAAAAGAGTCACTTAACAACCGTGTTGCTAATTTAACACCGGCAGTGATTCACTTAACAAACCGTGGCCAGGGAGGTCCTAAAATGGGGCAAAACTCGCTTAACAACTGCCTCACTTAGCAACAGAAAATTTTGGGGTCGTAATTCGAGGACTTCCTGCTTTTGGGCCTCCCCCTCCTTCCTAGCCCGTAGCCGTGATTATAAGCCGTACTTCCACAGATGTCTCCAAAGATGTAGTAGCACTGCTCCGAGAAGGTGATCTTGTTGACCGTGTGGCGGATATAACCAGCCTTCAACAGGTTGCTGGCATACTTGCGAGACTCTCGCCGGTCCGTAAAGCCCTCCACATGATGGTACAGCCAATCGACCACATCCGAACCTGGCAAGGGGCAGAAGCAAGCAAGACCGAACAAGAAAGTGAGGCAACGACAAATGGAAGGCGGTATATGGTGGTTAGGATAGCGCTGGCACTGGGGGGTGCTCAGCTTTTGAGGCCTACCTCGGCTACAGAAATTCTCAGCATGACATGGGGCCTTGTCATTAGCTTGTAGGGTTTATTCCTCTGCAGAGGTGGGGAACGATGGCCCCTTTGTGACCTGTGGACTCCCAGAATTCCTGAGCCACCATGGCTGTCTTAGGAATTCTGGGAGTTGAAGTCCCTCATAACAGTCTCAATAATACTGGGAGTTGAAGTCCACAGGTCGTAAAAAGATTGGGCAACTATGGCCCCTTTATGACCCGTGGACTTCAACTCCCAAAATTCCTCAGCCAGCACGGCTGTCTTAGGAATTCTGGGAGTTGAAGTCCCTCATGACTGTTTCAATAATACCGGGAGTTGAAGTCCACAGGTCGTAAAAAGATTGGGCAACTATGGCCCCTGTATGATCTGTGGACTTCAACTCCCAAAATTCCTCAGCCAGCACGGCTGTCTTAGGAATTCTGGGAGTTGAAGTCCCTCATGACTGTCTCAATAATACTGGGAGTTGAAGTCCACAGGTCGTAAAAAGATTGGGCAACTATGGCCCCTGTATGATCTGTGGACTTCAATTCCCAGAATTCCTGAGCCAGCACAGCTGTCTCAGGAATTCTGGGAGTTGGAAGTCCCTCATGACTGTCTCAGGAATACTGGGAGTTGAAGTCCACAGGTCGTAAAAGGGCCATCGTTCCCCACCCCTGCTGTAGAGGAAAAAACAGCATTTTTCCCCTTCATTTTTTGTCACTGAAGCCCAAGCAAAGTGTATGCGATAGGAAAAAAAATAACTTTTTTTTGTGACAGGCCATTTGGGGAACTCACAATGAATTGCTTCCCATTCCAAAAGATTCATTCCCGGGAAATGAATGAACTATTGTGACCAGATTGGTACCAGTTTAGAATTAAAATGGCAATGCTGCCTCTGAGAATTCTGGGAGTTGAAATTCACAGAAAATGGCTAAGGCTGGGAAACACATGTGTTACACAACACATCACTTCTATGCAGAACACATTATTATTTTGGGGGGGGGGGAAAGTCCATTTTAAATCTTGGTATGGGATATGCTCAAGAAATCTACCCACCCTTACTTGAAAACAAACCCAATCAGGTTCATTAAGACTGAATGTTGCAATCAAAATATAGTATCCATGGATGGATTCAACCTAGTGGGGACTTAACCTTAGCAGCTTGAATGAGTAAATCACGAGCAATCAGAACTCAGTGAGGTGAGTGCAGCAGTTGTAAAAATGAGGCCAGGAGTAAAGGAGAATAAGTAGATCCAGAAACTACGTTGGAGGGAACTCAGCTAGAAAAGCTAAGCGCGAATAACGAGTTGAGAAGTGTGCAAAAGATAACAAAAAATATAAACCCCATTAAAAAACAAAGTAAACCGGACAAAAGTACCTGTGCATGCCAGAAATAAAAAAAAAAAAGCCAAAAGGGGGAGTATTTATTTATTTAAATAATATAAATGTCCCCTCCCCAGTTCAGACTCTGACTCCTGATGGATAACAATTAGATTGAAGCGAATATAAAAACCCACAAAATTAAGAACAAGAAACCAACGGGACATGATACAACCCAGGCGAGACCACAATGACTCAGTCAAAAAATTTGTTTCAGAAGGCTTATCCATCACCCTGACTGAGTCTTGGAAAAGCAAAGTCATTAACATCTTAAGGAAGGCCAGTAGGGGCAGGACCATCAAGGGTGGAGTATGTCACTAAGAGAAAACTGGTGTAACCATCATGGGCAATGGGGATAAGCCATGCCCAACGAATGCTCCTTGATGATCCCACTTTAGCTTGGAGGGAAGCATGGAGTCGGGCCGGAGGGCTCTGTCTTGGACCTGATGCTCTCGAACATTTTTATGAATGACTTGGAAGAAAGAGTTGAGGGGACGCTTGTCAAGTTGACAACTGAGGCAAAGGTGAGAGGGGCGGTAAATGATTTAGATGAGAGAGAGAGAGAGAGAGAGAGAGAGAGAGAGAGAAGAGAGAGAAAAGAGTGAAAGATAGAGAAGAGAATGAGAGAATGAGAGAGAAGAGAGAAAGAGAGAATGAGAGAGAAAAGAAAGAGAAGAAAGAAAGAGAGAGAAGAGAGAATGAGAGAGAGAGAAAGAGAGGAGAGAGAAAGGACAGAGAGAGAATGAGAGAGAAAGAAGAGAGGACAGAGAGAATGAGAGAGAGAGAAGAAAGAGAGAAGAAAGAATGAGAGAGAAGAGAAAATGAGAGAAGAGAGAGAGGACAGAGAGAGAATGAGAGAGAGAGAAAGAGAAGAGAGAGAGGACAGAGAGAGGAGAGAGAGAAAGAGAAAGAGAAGAGAATGAAAGAGAGAGAGAATGAGAGAGAGAGAAGAGAATGAGAGAGAAGAAAGAGAAGAAAGAATGAGAGAGAGAGAAAGAGAGAAGAGAGGACAGAGAGAGAAGAGAAAGAGAGAGGAAGAGAATGAGAGAGAGAGAGAGAGAAGAAAGAGAGAGAAGAAAGAATGAGAGAGAGAGAAAGAGAGAAGAGAGGACAGAGAGAGAAGAGAAAGAGAGAGGAAGAGAATGAGAGAGAGAGAGAGAGAAGAAAGAGAGAGAAGAAAGAATGAGAGAGAGAGAAGAGAGGACAGAGAGAAGGGAATGAGAGAGAGAAAGAGAAGAGAATGAGAGAGAGAAGAGAGAGAAGAAAGAATGAGAGAAAGAGGGGAGAGAGGACAGAGAGAATGAGAGAGAAGAGAATGAGAGAGAGAGAAGAAAGAGAGAAGAAAGAATGAGAGAGAAGAGAAAATGAGAGAAGAGAGAGAGGACAGAGAGAGAAGAGAGAGAGAGAAAGAGAAAGAGAAGAGAATGAGAGAGAGAGAGAGAGAGAGAGAGAAGAAAGAGACAGGACAGAGAGAGAATGAGAGAGAGAAGAAAGAGAGAAGAAAGAATGAGAGAAGAGAGAGAGGACAGAGAGAGAATGAGAGAGAGAGAAAGAGAAGAGAGAGAGGACAGAGAGAGAAGAGAGAGAGAGAAAGAGAAAGAGAAGAGAATGAGAGAGAGAGAAGAGAATGAGAGAGAGAGAAGAAAGAGAGAAGAAAGAATGAGAGAGAAGAGAAAATGAGAGGAGAGAGAGAGGACAGAGAGAGAATGAGAGAGAGAGAAAGAGAAGAGAGAGAGGACAGAGAGAGAAGAGAGAGAGAGAAAGAGAAAGAGAAGAGAATGAGAGAGAAAGAGAAGAGAATGAGAGAGAGAGAGAAGAAAGAGACAGGACAGAGAGAGAATGAGAGAGAGAGAAGAGAATGAGAGAAGACAGAGATTAAAAAAAGCTTTAGACAGGCTCGGGCGATGGACTGAAATGAATAGAATGGAATTTAACAGGACAAAATATTGAAATCTGGACAGAAGTATACATGTGAAAAGGAACTGGGTGTCCTTCTCAACCACAAATGAAACATGACTCAGCAGAGGGATTCTGCTGCTAAACACACAAGGGTTATCTTGGAAAGCATTAACGGGCACAAAGTTCATATCGCAGGAAGCAACTGTTCTGTTCGTGTCAGATTCTACTCGATTCCTGTGTCCATTTCTCCATACCACAGCGCAAGAAGGAAAGCAAGAAACAAACTCTCTTGTTGACTTCTTTTATATATAGAAAAGTCTAGTGGTTAAAGGCACCAGGCGAGAAAGCAAGAGACTATGAATTCTAGTCCCGCCTCAGACATGAAAGCCATCTGGGTGACTTTGGGCCAATCACCAGGAGACAGGGAGTTCTAGTCCCGCCTCAGACATGAAAGCCAGCTGGGTGACTTTGGGCCAATCACCAGGAGACAGGGAGTTGTAGTCCCGCCTCAGACATGAAAGCCAGCTGGGTGACTTTGGGCCAATCACGCCCTCTCAGACCAATTCACCTCACAGGATTGTTGTTGTGGGGAAAATAGGAAGAGGAAGATGTGTTGAATATGTTTGCCACCGTGAATTATTTGTGAAACTAATAAAGGCGGGATAGATAGATAGATAGAGAGAGAAAGAGAGAGAGAGAGAGAGAGAGAGAAAGAAAGAAAGAAAGATAGATAGGATAGAGATAGATAGATAGATAGATAGATAGATAGATAGATAGATAGATAGATAGATAGATAGATAGATAGATAGATAGAGACAGATAGATAAATGGAGAGAGAGAGAGAGAGAGAAAGATAGATAGGATATAGATAGATAGATAGATAGATAGATAGATAGATAGATAGATAGATAGATAGATAGATAGATAGATAGACAGACAGACAGACAGACAGACAGACAGACAGACAGACAGACACAGGAATACAGAGACAATGATGAAGGAGAAAGAAACTCAGCACGCAATTCAGACAAGACTTAGCCTGAACCCCCTCCTCCACCTACAATATGGCTATAATATCTTCTCTATAAACTTCTTTATAGGGATGTGGTTTTAAGGTGGCAGACATGAAGCAATTTGAACGTAGGAATTGGCTGTCAAAATTCTGTGGAGGAGGACCTAAAGATGAACAGATTCCTCAGTTGTTCTTTAGCCTAGCTGGCTCAGGAATTCTGGTGTAGTTCCCCACCTCTGCTCTCTACAGCAACACTGGTTATCTTTCTGTCTCTGTCTATGCATTGGTTATCTTTCTGTCTCTGTCTATGCACTCCAGCTACCTATTTGAGAGACCCACTGAAGACGTAGCCCAGGGGTCTTCAAACTTGTCCCTTTTAGGACTTGTGGACTTCAACTCCCAGAATTCCTCAGCCAGGCACGTGTGCCTGGCTGAGGAATTCTGGGAGTTGAAGTCCACAAGTCCTAAAAGGGACAAGTTTGAAGAGCCCTGGCTTAGCAGCTCTCAATCACCACCCTCCCCCGGGCTCCTCTAGTCAGCCTTACCAATGAAGGCACTGGGAATGGTGATCTTCAGCCACATGCGGTCACGCACCTCCAAGCCCGACTCCGGTGAGGCCATGGCTTTGACAATGGTGGCCATATCGCTATGGATGGAGAGGTGAAAGTCATCAAGACCTGTACAAAAGGAAGGAAGGAAGGTGGAGGAATGCACGTTGAGCACCGCCTACAGATTCCGACGTTCTCCAGATCTGTCAACCAGAGATCCTGGGAATCCAACACATTTAAGGAATAGAGAACTGGGGAAGGCTGCAAGAGAGATGGAGGCTGGGAAACCGATAGGCATCTCCTAAGAAGCCACTGGGATCGACAGTCTCCCTCTGAATAGGACTCTTTCTTAAACCTCTGGTGCAGGTCAAAAACTGCTGTGAAGTCAAGGGTCTTCCCAAGGAACCATTTTTTTAAAAAAAAAAATTCAGCAAATGATCTGTTTCTGCCTGACATGACTTGTAACTGCTTTGTTCTTCTACTTTGAATTTTCTTTTAAAAAACTAAGGACAGCTGCGCTGGGATTTTTTTTTTTTTTCATTTCCCCCAAACAGGAAGTGATCGGATCAAGGCCAAGTTGATAATAATGATAATAATAATGATAATAGTAGTAGTAGTAGTAGTAGTAGTAGTAGTAGTAGTAGTAAAGTTGGAAGGGACCTTGGAGGTCATCTAGTCTAACCCCCTGCTCAGACAGGAAACCCTATACCATTTCGGACAAATGACTGTCCAGTCTCTTCTTAAAAACTTCCAGTGTTGGAGCATCCACCGCTTCTGGAGGCAGGTGGTTCCACTGGTTAATTGTTCTAATTGTCAGGAAGTTTCTCCTTAGTTCTAGGTTGCTTCTCTCCTTGCTTAGTTTCCACCCGTTGCTTCTTGTCCTGCCTTCAGGCGCTTTGGAGAATAGCTTGACTCCCTCTTCTTTGGGGCAGCCCCTGAGATATTGGAACACTGCTATCATGTCCCCCCTCGTCCTTTTCTTCATTAAACTAGACATACCCAATTCCAGCAACCGTTCCTTATATGTTTTAGCCTCCAGTCCCCTAATCGTCTTTGTTGCTCTTCTCTGCACTCTTTCTAGAGTCTCAGCATCTTTTTTACATCGTGGTGACCAAAATTGGATGCAGTATTCCAAGTGTGGCTTTACCAAGGCATTGTAAAGTGGTATTAACACTTCACGTGATCTTGATTCTATCCCTCTGTTAATGCAGCCCAGCTCTCTGTTAACGCAGCCTAGATTTCAGGAACACCCAAGCCTGAGGTCTCCCAGATGTTTCACGTGGCCAAACTGATATTCCATAGCCAGTGATGTGCAAAATATTTCCAGCTCCAAATTCTCTCCTGTTTCACTTCAAAATTTTGATTCCTAACCTTCCCGGAAAGGTGACCAGGGCTTGTTTCACTAGCCTGGAAGTCAGCTAAATTTGAGGCATCCCAGAAAGGCCCACCGATGATGCCACGGCAACCTGCCACCAAATTTCTATCTGTTTTTTTGCGCACACACCGCAATCGCCGTCTTCGTTTTTTCGACCACATTTGTAACCCAGGAAACAGCTCAAAATGAGCGTGTTTGAGATTGGATCATGACTGAGAAACTCCACAAGTCAACTGTTCTGTGCTCAAAAGCCACGGCTTATTCAAATTGTCCTACGTGGCTGTTCTCCCAAACCCAATCAGTAGCTATCCCTTCACCATCTCCAGATCTTCCTCATGGCCACAATAGTTCCAGTAAGGATCCTGTCCTTTTTTGTTCTAGTGCCCCCTAGGCTCCCTTGGGCTTTAGTCACACTTCCCCCCACTTCCTTACCCATCAGGCAAAGTAGGCAAGAAGTCTTCTGCCCATGTTGTTCCACAAGCTTGCTCTGAAACAAAATACAGGTAGTCCTCAACTAATGCCCGCGATCGGGACCGGGATTTCTGTTGCAAAGCAAGGCAAGGGAAGCCGTGCCTCGTTTTTACAAACTTTTTTTGCAGTGCTTGTTAGGCAAATCACTGCAGCTGTTAAGTGATTCATGCGGTCGTTAAGCAAATCCACACACACAAACACACACACACACACACACACACACACACCGGATTGTCTTTGCTTGTCAGAAGCCAGTGCAAAAAGTTGCCAATGGAGATCACTTGCCCCCAGGACATTGCAACCGTTGTAAATACATGCCAGTTGCCAAGCACCCAATCGTGGGGAGGCAGTCGTTAAGTGTGAGAACCAGTTATAAGTCAGCTAAAGAAACGGTCGTAAATCGTGGACTATCTGTACTGCCTTCCCTTACCACGGCCGCTCTGCTTTATAGGCCGTGGCGCCTCTCTGGAAGCTAGTCCCAGCTTGATCAGTAGGAGCCGACCAAGGCTTTACCCCCTTCTCACAGCTAGTGTTCCCCTAGGGCAGGGGTAGGCAATCTTGGCTCTTTTATGATTCGTGGACTTCAGCTCCCAGAATTCCTGAGCCAGCCATGCTGAGGGGAAAGGGAGAGGTTTCCAAGCTGAGCCAGGCTGGCTCAGGAATTCTGGGAGTTTATTTATTTATTTATTTATGAGACTTATATACCGCTTTAAGTGCAAGCACTCTCTAAGCGGTGTACACCAGTAAGCAATGTATATATATATTTACATTGCCACCAACAATCTGGGTCCTCATTTTACCTACCCCGGAAGGATGGAAGGCTGAGTCAACCTTGAGCCGGTGAGATTTGAACCGCTGACCTGCTGAACACAGTCAGCTAAAGTGGCCTGCAGTACTGCACTCTAACTGCTGCGCCACCTCGGCTCATGTTGAAGTCCACCAGTTGAAGTCCACCAGTCATAAAAGAGCTCAGGTTGCTTACCCCTGGTCTAGGGATACTCACCAGACTTTTCTAATTGATCATCTATAGGAATAGCCAGAGGGATAATAATAATAATAATAGTAGTAGTAGTAGTAGTAGTAGTAGTAGTAGTAATAAAGTTGGAAGGGACCTTGGAGGTCATCTAGTCCAACCCCCTACTCAGGCAGGAAACCCTATACCATTTCAGACAAATGGCTGTCCAGTCTCTTCTTAAAAATTTCCAGTGTTGGAGCATTCACCGCTTCTGGAGGCAGGTGGTTCCACTGGTTAATTGTTCTAACTGTCAGGAAGTTTCTCCTTAGTTCTAGGTTGCTTCTCTTCTTGATTAGTTTCCATCCGTTGCTTCTTGTCCTGCCTTCAGGCACTTTGGAGAAGAGCTTGACTCCCTCTTCTTTGGGGCAACCCCTGAGATACTGGAAGGCTGTTATCCTATCCCCCCTCGTCCTTCTCTTCATTAAACTAGTCATACCCAATTCCAGCAACTGTTCCTTGTATGTTTTAGCCTCCAGTCCCCTAATCATCTTTGTTGCTCTTCTCTGTACTCTTTTCTAGAGTCTCAGCATCTTCTTTACATCGTGGTGACCAAAACTGGATGCCGTATTCCAAGTGTGGCCTTACCAAGGCCTTGTAAAGTGGTATTAACACTTCGCGTGATCTTGATTCTCTCCCTCTGTGAATGCAGCCCAGCACTGTGTTTGGACTAGAAGACCTCCAAGGTCCCTTCCTTCCAGCGCTATGATTCTATGATCACCCTTGTCAAAATGATTAGTGGTCCACAAGTCATAAAGGGGCCATCATTCCCCACCCTGATTTAGGTCAACTTCCACGAGGAGTCCTTGACTTACAGAGCAGTTCCTTTAGTGGCCGTTCATAGTTACAACGGCACTGAACAAAGCGACCTAACCGTTTTTCACACTTACCACCGTTGCAGCATCCCCATGGTCACGTGATCAAAGTTCAGATGCTTAGCAGCCGACCCGTATTTATGACGGTCCCGGGGTTACCTGGTGACCTTCTGTCAAGCCAAGTCAACGGGGAAGCCAGATTCACTTAACAACCGTGTTATTAACTTAACAACTGTAGTGATTCACCAAGAAAGCGTGTAAAGCATGAGGCAAAACTCACTTTAACAACTGTCTCACTTAGCAACAGAACTCTGGGGCTCAACTGTGGTCGTGAGTGGAGGACTACCCTACTTCCTCCTGGCTGACTGTCTGAATTTCTCTACTTCCCTCTTGGTATGTTGAGATGCCTGCACATCTTTTCAAGAGGGACTCCACGTCCCTGCTCAGTACGTCAGAGTCTACCGGGAAAGCAATCCTTAGTTACTGAGGGTCAGATCCTTCTTCCACCAAGGAGAACTCGGCCCTGTCCAGGTATGATTCCTATCAGATGAGGTGTGCAGGTGACGGGAAGCCAAGCAGGAGTGGGACATGCGCGGACACAAGAACTTACGTTCCGTTTCCGGGATGGAGCTGGTGATGGAGGAGCTGGTGGAAGTGATTGTGCTCATGGATGGGCTCATACCGTAGGCAGGGAAGGTGCCGGTCATCGCCGCGGTGTGGGACACCCAAGCTGCCGGGTCGATGGGTCGGATAGGCTCGCCTGAAAGGGAACACGGACCCGGTGAGAAGGCCGCCTCCGCAACCGTCATCCCCCTACGCTGGACCCAAAAACCTCTGGGCAGCCCTGTCCTCCCCCGAGTGTCAGCCGGGACTCACCCGGATCGGAGCACGGAGAGTCCGGCCCAGCCCAGATTCGCTGGGGAGCAACTGGGGGAGAAAAGAGAGGGGTGATCAGCAAGAGGGACACAGAGAGAGAGAGAGAGAGATCCACCTGGCGCCCAGGGATTAGCAGGCAGGGGAGGGGACGTCCATGCAGGGAAAGGACTGGTCTGAGCTGGGATGGAGCGGGAAAGCAGCCGCCAAGTAGGAAGTCCCAGAAGACGGCAGGAGAAAGGCAAAAGAGGAAGGAAGGAAGAGCAGCGCAGAGAGAAGAAAGCGGGAGAATCCCCGTGGCTTTCTCGCACATTACAAGCCCATTGATGCATTTAGCCAAAAGGAGGGTCTATGGCAGGGGTAGGCAACCTCGGCTCTTTTATGACTCATGGACCAACTCCATAGCTGGCTCAGGAATTCTGGGAGTTGAAGTCCATGGGTCATAAAAGAGCCGAGGTTGCCTACCGCTGGTTTATGGAGATTCTCAATCATCCAGCTCTTGGTTGTCCCAGGGGTGCTTTTCCGAAAGGCAACTGGATTTTCTCCCCCCCTTGAAAACGCTGCGCTTCTCATCCAAGAAGCTTCATCTTGGATGAGATGGGAAGCATTTTCAAGAAAAAACAAAACGAGGAGATCCAGTGGCCTTTCGGAAAAGCAACTCCAGGGCCTTCCTGGGAATGTCTCAGTTACTTCTCAAAAGTCTCTCTCTACGTGTAGAAAAGGAGCATTTTCAAGGAGCTGCTAACCTTTTCTGCCAAGCCTTGAGCATTGACCAAGCCTATAAATCTCAATAACCGTATCGCTCCAAGAGCTGTAGGTTTGCCCTACTGATTTTATCTCGGCTTTTGGTCTTTTCACCCTCAAACGAAGGGGGGGTGAAGTACAGGTAGTCTTTGACTTACGACCAAAATTGAGCCCAAAATATTTGTTGCTCAGCTGTTGAGTGAGTTTTGCTCCCATTTTACAACTTTTCTTGCCACAGTCGGTAAGTGAATCACCGCAGTTGTTAAGGGGATAGCACGGTTGTTAAGTGAATCTGCGATGCCCCCATTGACTTTGCTCGTCAGAAGGTCGCAAAACGGGAACACGTGACCCCGGGACGCTGCGACCGTCATAAACACGAGTCAGCTGCCAAGCCTCCGAATTTTGATCACGTGAGCACGGAGACGCTGCAACTGCCGTTAAGTGCGAAAAATGGTCATGAGTTCCTTTGTTTCCAGTTCCGTTGTAACTTTGAATGGTCACTAAATGAACCGTTGTAAGTGGAGGACCACCTGTATATATTCATAATAGCAGGTAGCGCCCTAGACTTACAACAATTTACTTAGTCGCCATCTGAAGCTACAACCACACCAGAAAAAAGTGATTTATGACCGTATTTCATACTTACAACCGTGGCAGCATCCCCCATGGTCACGTGATCCAAATGCAAATGCTTGGCGACTGGTTCGTATTTATAACGGTCGCAGCGTCCCGGGGTCATGTGATCCTTTTGCGGCCTTCTGACGAGAAAAGTCAATGGGCGATCCCACTTAACCGTGTTATTAACTTAAGAACCGCAATGATTCACTTAACATCTCCGACGAGACAGGTCATAAAATGGGGCAAAAGTCACCTAACAACTGTCTCACTTAGCAACAGAAATTTTGGGCTCAATTGTGGTCGTAACCCGAGGACTTCCTGCATGACTGTTCCTCCGTACGGGGATTGGAAACCGTCAGGCCTTTAGATGCGTTTGCGGTCAACATGAGTGGAGGTCCATCCTGTCTTTCTTTCGTCTCGTCTGGTTTTGTCATTGTTATTCACTTCTGGGTTTTTAAATCTTCTTAACTATTTGTACGGAGAGTTGGGGCATGTAATTTTAATTTTTAAAAAAAGGTTATTATTGTGGTTATCATCACCCCCCCCCCCACCAGTCATGTTAACTGATTTCATGTCGTCAAGTTGAGGTCGACTCTAAATGGACCGCCGAGATTCATCTTCTCTGCAATGATCTGCTTTCCTACAATGATCCTTCTGGTCTTCCGATAATTTTGTTTTGTTTTGTTTTGAACAAAACGCTTCAGCTCCGTGCTCTATAAAATCGACTTGTCACGTACATGCCTGACCCGAAGAAACTACAGGCAGAGGTTCACTTACTCCTGGGTAACGAGAAGCAGCCCCTGGGAGTCGGATCCCAGCACTTGGCGACCGTCAACGTGATGGGCCTGCAGCAAAACACAAAGGTTGGCATCCTGCAAGTTGCTTTATAACGTGCCCCATCGCTGGCATTTCCCTCAGGGCAAAACAAAAAACAAAACCAAAAAAAAACCATGACAGCTTCGCCCCACTCCAGTCCCAGAAAGCATTTGAGGAATTCCTACATCCTTTGAGTACATGACGGAAAAGACAGCCCGTAATTCAGCCTTAACAGCATCTGCAGGGCCATCAAAGCCCAGAATGAGCAGCTTTCACTAAAGAGATTGGCTGCACTTATTTTTGTTATTTGCTGGACTGCAATCACTTGCATAACAACAACAACAACAATTTTACTGTGTTTCCCCGAAAATATGACCAGGTCTTTTTTTTTTGCCTCCAAAAGAGGCACCAGGTCTTATTTTCAGGGTAGGCCTTACCTCACCTCCAACATCGACAGCCCCACCCAGCTGGTCCACTTCTTCTGGGGCCGACGTTCTGCAGCTGCATTCGGGTCTGCATTTTGCAGTCAGGCCTTTCCAGAAGGCCTAAGCCGCCGAGTACCGAGCTATGGATTCAATCCATAGCTTGGTGCTCGGCTGCTGAGCTCTTGCAGAACCTTTGAATCCAAAGCTCGGTTCTTGGCTACACAGGCCTTCCGGAAAGCCCCGTGACTGAAAAACGCAGGCCTGGCTGCAGAAGAGGCCTCAGAAGAAAAAGGGGGCCGGCGAGGAGAGGCCTGGCTGCAAGTGGGTGTGGGGCGGGTTGGGCAGCTCCACACCCACACCCCCAGCTTGATTTTTAGGTGTGTGCCTCACCCAAAACTAGGGCTTATTTTGGGGGTAGGGCTCACCCCAAAAAATCAAGCTAGGGCTTATTGTTGGTGTAGGCCTTGCTTTCGGAGAAACACGGTATAAGGAAGGCCGGTTTTATCATCTCTGTAGAATACCAGAGATGCTAAGGCTGAAAACTGGTGATTTGCCCATATTGTATGAGAGCAGAATTCTACGACCACCTGAGGGCACAGCTAAACAACTGAACCTTTGCCTCTCTGCCCAGACAACTACACCATTCAAGCCTGCGCCGAAAGGAAACTGGGACCAAAGAGGCTGGAGAGATGGCCTACCCCGGCTTGTGCACAATTTCCCTCAGCACTCGTACGGCATCGTCGTTACTCATATTCTCAAAATTGGTGTCGTTCACCTGCAAAGATAAATCAAAGAATTCGGGGGAATTCGGGGCTGGGGAATTCTGGGAATTGAAGTTCACACATCTTAAAAGTTGCCAGGGTGGACAAACACTGCTCTTGCATTACTCCAGGCACGAGCAAAGCACCTGTGCTGCTTTTTTAACTTAAGTTTCCTATTTATCACCTGAACGGGAGCTCAAGTGTTCCATAAAAGAGGTACCTGCAGCAACATGTCTCCGGGTTCAATTCTTCCATCAGCTGCAACAGCACCTCCCTTCATAATGGAACCAATGTAGATACCTCCGTCGCCACGTTCGTTGCTTTGCCCAACAATGGAGATGCCTAGGAAATTGTATTTCTCTGCAGAAAAGGGGATGTGCGGTTAGAACATTCCCCCAAGCCCAAAGGCACTATTTGGTCTATCCAATCATTTGTGATCAGGTAAGGTAAGATAAAACCTTTATTATCATGTTTTCACAGTGAGCATACTGGCCCACGTTAAAAATGAAATTCTGCTGCATGCTCTCAAAAGAAACTATCTACCCATACACATACATAACGCACATATACACATGCTATACACATACATATACATACATACATACATATGTTTTCTGAGGTTTTCGCGGGTGTTTGTATGTAAGTCTTTGGTTGTTCGGGTTTTCTCCCGCGTAAAATTGGAAGTGTCTTGGCGACGTTTCGACGAAGTCCCATTCGTCATCTTCAGGCTGGTGTTTTCGGCTTCGTGCTTCGAGGAACAATGTGTGGTCTTAGCTGTTTCCTCCTTTTAACTGCCAATGGGGGTATCTTAAACCCCCCTGCAACTCAGACTAACCTGAGCACAACAAAGCCCCCACCCAAACAGAACACTCCCCCAGCCAATCAGAGCACAGCCAACCCCCCCAGCCAATCAGAGCACAGCCAACCCCCCAGCCAATCAGAGCACAGCCAAGCCCCTAACCAATCAGAACACACCTTCACCCAATCAGAACACAGCCAAGCTCCCACCCAATCAGTTCATACCCCCACTGGCAGTTAAAAGGAAGAAACAGCTAAGACCACACACTACTCCTTGAAGCACAAAGCTGAAAACACCAGCCTGAAGATTACGAATGGGACTTCGTCGAAACGTCGCCAAGACATTTCCAATTTTACGCGGGAGAAAACCCGAATAACCAAAGACCTACATATACATACATACATACATATATATAGGTTGCTATGGGAAAGAAAGATTTCTTTCTCCCATATTTGGGCTGACAGGGTGCACATTCAAGGTAAATACATACATAAACATACATACATACATGCATACATACATACATATATATATATATACACACACACACACACATACATGCATACATACACATACATACATACACATATACATATACATACACACACACACATACACACACACATATATATATAGTGTTTTTTTCTTTTTCTGAAATAACCTAGAGGTTAAAACAGCTGCCTAACGTGCAAGCAGCCCAGGTTTGAATCTCAGCAAGGGTATGGCTAGCTGATGAGTGCTAAGTAGCTCGAAATAGCTATACTAGTCTCCCTTTAACTCTTTGTTGGCAATCCAAATTTAACATACATACATGCATACATGCATACATATATGTATGTATACAGCATGTGTATTATGTATGTGTATATATATCTACAGCCATACACACACACACACACACACACACACACACACACACACACACACGTTTTCCCGAAAATAAGCCCTAGTTAAGAGCCAGCCCACTCCGTCCCATCGTCTGGTTGCTCGCTGTAGCAACAGGCAGGAGGTCTTGCGGTGTGTTGGTGCCGCCACCACCAGGTGAGGTAAGGCAGGTGGCAGGGGATGTAGAACTACCGCACGTGCCCCGCACTGAGTACCTCATGGCCCCCACAGCCAGCCCACTCCCATTCGGCGACCTCTTCCCCCCCTTACCCATTCAATGACCCGACTGCCCTCCCACCTCCTCTTCCCTTTCACTCCCCTCCCAAACCAGACTGCCATGGGCAGGAGAGGCTCAGTCCCCTTTCCTGGTCCTCCACCGCCATTTTGGAGCCAGGGGTGACAACGAAAGGCTAGGCCAGGGGTAGACAAACTTGGCTCTTTTATGACTCGTGGACTTCAACTCCCAGAATTCCTGAGCCAGCCATGCTGAGGGGAAAGGGAGAGGTTTCCAAGCTGAGCCAGGCTGGCTCAGGAATTCTGGGAATTGAAGTCCACCAGTCATGAGGGGGCCATAATTTCCCCATGCTGGCTCAGGAATTCTGGGAGTTGAAGTCCACGAGTCATAAAAGAGCCAAGGTTGCCTACCCCTGGGTTAGGCCCTCACTATGCAACAGCCATGTCCAACCACTGGAGGGGCTTTCTTCGGTTCTTGCCGCCCCTGCTTCACCCCAGCCTGCCCCACAGATCACCGGGACGCTTTTGGCCCCCTGCGTGCTTCCCGCCTCCCGGAAAAATAAGACAACCCCTGAAAATAAGCCCTAATGGGGGGGGGGGTTTGCACCAAAAATAATATAAGACCTGGTCTTATTTCCAGGGAAACACAGGTATAAATATTAATCACTGTCCATTTTGAACCCAGAGTGGAAAGAGGAAACTTGGAGAGTTCACAAAGTTGATGCTATATGGAACAAAACTGTGACTGAATCTGGATGTTCTGTTCGGATCAAGCTTAAAGAAAATGTCCTTAGCTACAGGTAAAACAGACTCCCTACAGTTCATTTAGTGACCGTTCTAAGTTATAACAGCACTGGGGGGGGGACAACTGTTTTTCACACTTATGACCGCTGCGGCCTCCCCATGGTCGCATGATCGAAAGTCAGACACTTGGCAACTGAATCATTATTTATGATAGTTGCACTGTCCTGGGGTCAGGTGATCCCCTTTTGCGACATTCTGACAAGCAGTGGGGAAGCCACGTTAACAACTTCTGTGATCCCCCCAACAACTGTGGCAAGAAAGGCTGTAAAATGGGGCAAAACTCACTGAACAGCTGTTGGGCTCAACTGTGGTCCTAAGCTGAGGACTACCTATATTGGATCAAAAAGAAGAAGAAGAAAAAAACCCTTTCCAAAGGCCTTCTCCGTACTAAATGGTCACTTCACAACGTTAAACGGATCGTCTTCCCCCTGCTACGTTCTGGTCCTGGGCCCGTCTCCAAGCAGCCATCTGGACTCACCCATGTTGAGCGTCACGGTGATGATGTTCAGCGACATGGTGGAATCGGTGATGCTGCTGAAAGACGAAGACTGCAAGGAAAGGAGAAGACGAGATAAGAACAGGTGTGGTTCACCTGCCAAACTGACAGATGGAGTTGAGGTCTAACCACTAGGGAAAGAATGGAGGGCAGGGGATAAAATGCCTTTCAAGGCTCTCCCTACAAATTTATAGAAGGTAGGACTGGTCTTAACTCTTGCAAAGTTGTTTGAATAACAAAGAGATTGCGAAGGGACCTTGGGCATCTTCTAATGCAGTGGTTCTCAACCTTTTTAATGCCGCGACCCCCAACCGGTCGTAAGTCGAGGACTACTCAACCAGTCGTAAGTCGAGGACTACTCAACTGGTGCAGCACCATTTGCAGAATGGGACTTTTGGCGGGGAGGGCAGAGACAGCAGGGCAGAGACAGAGCAGAGGCAGCCTGGACAATTCCTATTGGCTTTCGAAAGCCAATCGAATTAGACTCTATTCAAGAGAGTCTATTCTATTGGCTTTCAAAAGCCAATAGAATAAAAGGGAGTCGCACAGCTAAGGAAAAGGGGGAAAAAAATGACGGACTGCGTTGTTTGGCGACCTCCGTGAAATGGTCATTCGACCCCAAATGGGGTCCCGACCCACAGGTTGAGAACCACTGTTCTAATCCATCCCCCTGTTCAAGCAGGAAACACTATACTATTCCAGACAAATGATTGTCCAAACCTGTGGAGCACCCACAACCTCTGGAGGTCAGCAGTTCCACTGGTTAATTGTTCTAACTATTGGGAAATTTCTCCTTTCTAGATTGGTTCTCTCCTTGACTAGTTTCCATCCATTGCTTCTCCTGTCTTCAGGTGCTTTGGACAATAGCTTGACTCCCTCTTCTTTGGGGGAACGCCTGAGATATTGGAAGGCTGCTATCATGTCACCCTTAGTCCTTCTCTTCATTAAACTAGACATACCCAATTCCTGCAACCGTTCTTCCTATGTTTTAGCCTCCTGGGAGTTGAAGTCCACAAGTCATAAAAGGGCCAAGTTTGAAGACCCCTGTTCTAGAGTCTCAACATCTTTTTTACATCATGGCGACAAAAATTGGATGTGATGTCCCAATTGTGGTCTTACCAAGGCCTTATAAAGGGGTACTAACGCTTCGCGTGATCTTGATTCTACCCCTCTGTGACAATGTCCCGTCTCCAACCCCCAAGTCCAGCTTCAATTACCCTCTCAATTCGGGCTACTTTCTGTTTCCGCCGACGGCGTTTATGTCTTCTCATAAGGCGCGAGGCGCTGCTTTGTTCCGTAGAGCTGCTGAGCCTACAAGACAAAGAGCAGAGGAAGAATCAGAAGCTCGTTCACCAGGAAGCAGTTAACAAAGGGCAAAGAAGGACATCACGTTGGGGTTCCTGGATGAAAGCTTACTGGAGTCATTCGGTGCCACCCCCTTTAGAAAACAGGGTCATCTCAGATACTGTCCTTGATTCCATTACAAAATAAAATGGCCAGGTCTGCCATCAGCGAAAGCAAGGCAGAAATAGAAACGTTTATTGTCAAATGGAATTTTCTCATTTATTTAAAGATTTTAACGTGGCTGCCCAAATCAAACCTTGCAACTCTTGAGAGGCATATAAAAATTCCAGCTAAACTTCAAAAACTTCATAGGGACCAGGAAATCACATTCATATCCCTCTCCATGACTATTCTGTATGGGTCAAGGGTGGGGAATCTTGGCTCTTTTATGACTCGTGGACTTCAACTCCCAGAATTCCTGAGCCAGCCATGCTGAGGGGAAAGGAAGAGGTTTCCAAGCTGAGCCAGGCTGCCTCAGGAATTCTGGGAGTTGAAGTCCATGAGTCATGAAGGGGCCATAGTTCCCCCATGCTGGCTGAGGAATTCTGGGAGTTGAAGTCCATGAGTCATGACGGGGCCATAGTTCCCCCATGCTGGCTCAGGGATTCTGGGAGTTGAAGTCCAGAAGTCATGAAGGGGCCATAGTTCCCCCATGCTGGCTCAGGAATTCTGGGAGTTGAAGTCCATGAGTCATGAAGGGGCCATAGTTCCCCTATGCTGGCTCAGGAATTCTGGGAGTTGAAGTCCACGAGTCATAAAAGAGCCAAAGTTGCCTACCCCTGGTCTAGGACTACTTGTACCATCAGCAAAAGCAAGACGCCGTCGTAAATATGGGCCAGTTGCCAAGCGTCCCAATTTGGATCACATGCCCACGGGGAATGCTGCAATAGTCATAAGTCTGAAAAACGGTCGTAAGTCACTGTTTTCAGTGCCGTTGTAACTTCGAACAGTCACTAAACGAATGGTTGTAAGTCAAGGACTAGACTACCTGTGTTTTAGCACAGAGGTCCCCAACCTTTTGGGCACCAGGGACCAGTTACGTGGAGAGAGGTTTTCCTGTGTGTGGTTCTCTGTGCTTTCTGCATCCTGCTTGGTTGCTTGTTTATGCAGACCGCTTTCTGGCATGCTGCGGACCGGTACCAGTCCACAGACCAGGGGTTGGGGACCCCTGCTTTAGCATGTCAAGTAAACCTGGCTATCTGGAACCTATTTGATAAATCAGTTTAATGTAGCATGCAATCCCAACCCTTTGAAGTGGTTCCGGCTAATGAAGCATTCCAAAGAACTTCCAGGCATTTATTTTCCTAAAAGTCTTTTATTGTTACAAAATGTCTGCACAGGCACAACGGAGGGATGCTAGGATTTAAGATCTCTTCCTCTGAGCAGTTAAGTTATCAGCATGTTCCCTCCCTAAATTAGCCGTCATATCTCACACTATCCAATTAGTGTGAAGGTCAAATGTTTTCTTCCTCTTTCTTTGGGGGGGGGCTTTACCCCCAACGCCCCTTCTGCTCTTTATTAACCCATACTTACCAGACAATTCTGCATATTGTCAAAAGCAAGAATATGCAATATTTGCAGCGTTGACACCCTTATTAGAAAAGATCCTCCATCAACACGTCACTTAATAACGGAAAGAAAAAGAGACTTAAAGCATCCTTTATGAGAGTTATTTCACCTTCTAACTCGCTCCTCACCTGCTGGTGGAATCATCCTCATCAGAATCGAAGAAGCTGGTGGTCTCCAGTTCACTACTCATCAGGGTGGAGGAGCTTTCATAACCCCCGAGTTCCCGCCGCCGGTCCCCCTTGGTCATGCCGTTCACCCTGGGGGCTGGAGAAAGCAGGGATTGAGTCTCTTTCTTTGTGAAAAAGTACCGTCTACAAAAGTGGTTCTCAACCTTTTTAAGGCCGCGACCCCAACCGGTCGTAAGTCGAGGACTACTCAACCGGTCGTAAGTCGAGGACTATTCAACTGGTGCAGCACCGTTTGCAGAAGGGGACTTTTGGCGGGCTCAGCAGGGCAGAGACAGCATGGACAATTCCTATTGGCTTTTGAAAGCCAATAGAATTAGACTCTATTCAAGAGAGTCTATTCTATTGGCTTTCAAAAGCCAATAGAACAGTGTTTCTCAACCTTGACAATTTTAAGGCATGTGGACTTCAACTCCCAGAATTCCACAGCCAGCAATGCTGGCTGTGGAATTCTGGGAGTTGAAGTCCACATGCCTTAAAATTGTCAAGGTTGAGAAACACTGCAATAGAATAAAAGGGAGTAGCACAGCTAAGGAAAAGGGGGAAAAATGGCAGACTGCGTTGTTTGGCGACCCCTGTAAAATGGTCGTTCGACCCCAAATGGGGTCCCGACCCATAGGTTGAGAACCACTGGTCTAAATGCATCAGCCTGCTTTGCTTATTCACTCTTTCTACTCCACCTTCTCTCACGGGAGCGCAAGGCACTTGCATGGCGGAATGGGACACCGGCTGACTCACTCCAGCCGGTCTCACTGTTATCTGACTCACCACAGCCAGGGCCAACTCAGCCAGGGGACGATTCAATATGGGATAACTCCAGAGAGGGACATGTAGAATTGTAGCTCACCCCAGCCTCAAAGACTACTAATGTGAGAAGGTGCAAACCTGAAGCAACACAAGGCCCATGTTGAATTGTCCCAAAACAAGTCGGGCGGGATGAGTTGGCCAGGGCGAGACGGTTGGTGTGAGTCAGATACAGCAAATTGTCCTAGATCGGGGGTCTTCAAACTTGGCCCTTTTATGACTTGTGGACTTCAACTTCCAGAATTCCTCAGCCAGGCGTGCCTGGCTGAGGAATTCTGGGAGTTGAAATCCACAAGTCATAAAAGGGCCAACAAGTTTGAAGACCCTGTCTTAAACCAGGGATGGGGAACCTTGGCTTTTTTATGACTTGTGGACTTCAACTCCCAGAATTCCTGAGCCAGCCATGTCAGGAATTCTGGGAGTTGAAGTCCACAAGTCATAAAAGACCCAAGGTTCCCCAACCCAGTCCTAGACCCCTGCATGTGGCCAGTTGAGGATGGGGGAGCCCTCTCTATTTTAATTCCAAAATAAGCACCCCATGAGTAGATGAAGCTCAGAGGGTGTGCGTGGCCCAAAGTCACCACATGTCACCTGGCACTGCCTGCTGAACTCAAGCGCGCATTTTCCTGACCCTGCATGGCTGCCCTGTAAACACAGGAAAAGGCCCATCTCTTTTCAGCCGGTCTGAAAACATATTCCATTTCTACTTCTATTCTAATATTTATTGGATTGACAAGGCCGTCCAAATCAAAGAACGCAACCCTGGGTAACATATAACGACGACGGCAACAAAAATCAAATAAATGGCTAAAACACAGACAATATATCAGTATGAAATACAGAATATAAAACGGTAACAAAAAACAACAACAACTCAAAGGCTAAATTCACCCAGTTCCCAAACTCACTAATTGCATTTTAGCTTATCAGTTTGGGGGGGGGGAATCCAGCCTCAGGGGACGAACTGAGTAAATTAGGACTTAGCGCAAGGAAACCTGTTGTGCGAACACAGCCACGGGTTTGATTTCAAAGGGGGAAGTGGGAAATCCTCACCGTGCTCAGGACCCTCCTTCCTGCGTGGCCGTTCCCTCTGGACCGACACCACGGAGTCGGTCTCTGTCTCATTATCCAGGTTCTCTCGGCTTCCCCCACTATTTGGGCTGCAAGGCAAAAACATATATTTCAGGTGGTACCGTATTTCCCTGAAACTAAGACCCAATCGGAAAATAAGACTTAACATGTTTTTTTTTTCCAGGATGCTCGTAATATAAGCCCCACCCCAAAAATAAGCCCCAGTTAAGATCGTCAGCCAGACGGACGCATTTAGTACCGTATTTCCCCGAAAATAAGACCTAACCGGAAAATAAGCCCTAATGCAGTGGTTCTCAACCTTTTTAATGCCGCGACCCCCAACCGGTTGTACTACTCAACCGGTCATTAAGTCGAGGACTACTCAACTGGTGCAGCACCGTTTGCAGAATGGGACTTTTGGCGGGCTCAGCAGGGCAGAGACAGCCTGGACAATTCCTATTGGCTTTTGAAAGCCAATAGAATTAGACTCTATTCAAGAGAGTCTATTCTATTGGCTTTCAAAAGCCAATAGAATAAAAGGGAGGAGCACAGCTAAGGAAAAGGGGGGGGGGAAAATGGCGGACTGCGTTGTTTGGAGACCCCCGTGAAATGGTCGTTCGACCCCAAATGGGGTCCCAACCCACAGGTTGAGAACCGCTGCCCTAATGCGTCTTTTGGAGCAAAAATTAATATAAGACTTGGTCTTAGTTTCAGGGAAATACGGTAGCACACCCCAACAATTGGGAGGCTCTGTTCTATGCAAGTTGCCATCCTGAAGTCCCGGTGACCAACTCAACCACACAGCAAAGTTGTCTCTCTGGATCACACCCCCGTTCAGGTGGCACAGCAGGGAACCACACTTCTGTCTTCCTCACTCTCATGTTAAACAGATCGAAATACCTAGTTCTCAACTTACAATCCAACTGAGCCCAAAAATTTCTGCTGCTAAGTGAGACAGTTATTACGTGAGTTTCCCCCCCATTTTAAGGACCTTTTTCTGCCTCCGTTGGTAAGCAAATCACTGCAGTTGTTAAACTAGTAACATGTTTGTTAAGTGAATCTGGCTTCCCCACGGACAGGACAAGATTCACTGAATAGCCATCTCGCTTGGCAACAGAAATTTTGGGCTCAATTGTGGTCGTAAGTCGAGGACTATCTATATATGCTATATGTTTTTCCTTGGGTCATTCAATACATCAAGGACCATCTGTGCTTATGAACATCCTGTAAGAGGAAAAGGGCATTGCACAGGTGGAGTGGGCTCTTTTATGACTCGTGGACTTCAACTCCCAGAATTCCTGAGCCAGCCATGCTGAGGGGAAAGGGAGAGGTTTCCAAGTCATGCTGGCTCAGGAATTCTGGGAGTTGAAGTCCACAAGTCATAAAAGAGCGAAGGTGGCCTGCCCCTGGACTAGACTCTTGCTCAGCCTGAACTGTGTTTCTCTGGGACTCACGTTTTCCCCTATAAATGACCTAAATTCATAGAATCCTAGCCTGGAAGGGACCTTGGAGGTCTTCTAGTCCAGCCCCCTGCTCAAGCAGGAGAGCCTATACCAGGGGTAGGCAACCTGGGCTCTTTTATGACTCGTGGACTTCAACTCCCAGAATCCCTGAGCCAGCCATGCTGAGGGGAAAGGGAGAGGTTTCCAAGTCATGCTGGCTCAGGAATTCTGGGAGTTGAAGTCCACGAGTCATAAAAGAGCCAAGGTTGCCTATCCCTGGTCTAAGTGCACTGGATCACAGAAGACAGACACGGATGACGGACTTTCCCCAAAGGATTTACTGTACAGATAGTCCTCAACGTACGACCAGAACTGAGCCCAAAATTTTTGTTGCTAAGCGAGAAATCTGTTGAGTGAATTTCGCTCATTGACATTGGTTAAATGAATCACTGCAGTTCTTAAATCAGTAACATGGTTATGAAGTGAATCTGGTTTCCCCCTTGACACTGCTGCTCAGAAGGCCGCAAAAGGTGATCACATGATCCTGGGACATTGCAACCGTCAGCCAGTTGCCAAGCCTCTGAATTCGGATCACGTGACCACAGGGATGCTGCAATGGTTGTTAAGCATGAAAAACAACTTGAAACGGGTCACTAAACAAGTGGTTGTAAGTCCAGGACGGCCTTACAGGTAGTCCTGGACTTACAACCACTTGTTTAGTGACCGTTTCAAGTTACAAGGGCACTGAAAAAAGTGACTTACAGATCTTTAAGCAAGAGTACCTTCCATTTCTGCGCCAGAGAGCCTTTTTAATAAAAGGCCTAAGTTATTTTTTTATATACATATATATGTTTTCTGAGGTTTTCGCGGGTATTTGTATGTAGGTCTTTGGTTGTTCGGGTTTTCTCCCGCGTAAAATTGGAAGTGTCTTGGCGACGTTTCGACGAAGTCCCATTCGTCATCTTCAGGCTGGTGTTTTCAGCTTCGTGCTTTGAGCAGCAAATTGCTCAAATTGGCATCGAAACGTCGCCAAGACACTTCCAATTTACGCGGGAGAAAACCCGAACACCAAAGACCTATATATATATATATATATATATATATATATATATATATATATATATATATATATATATATATGAGCTTTATTGTTTTTTAAAACATAAATCACATAATAGTTGGTTAACAGTGTGTTTGCTTGGTTTAAATTTGTAAAGAAAATTCGTTAACAATTGATTTCTATAATTCACAATCCACATGTTCAAACAGATGTTTCTTTTTTTCTTAACTATTCTCTCTGGTAGATCCCGTCATGTATATTCTTAATTTTCACTTTAATATTTTAATATTTTTCCTTTGATCAGTATCTTTCTTGATCAATGTGTCTTGCTGAATCAGAGAGTTTTTCCATCTATTTTTCCCCAATCAATTATACAATTTGTTCCAGATTTCGTAATAATCTGGTTGACGTTAGAACTCAAGGATAAAAGGCCTAAGTTATTGATGCTTTTTCCTAACCACCCAAAGCTTGTCAGTTAGCTCTGAGCTGCAAGCTTTCCAACACAAAGCACAAATTAACATCAGTATATTTAAAATCTGGTGTCAGGTTTGGTCCCCACAAAGGAAAGCCTTTTGGGTTGGTAACGAATCCATACAGATCAATGTATATGTATTGATGCGGCAGGGTATAAGTATATACATTGTGTTGTACATAGCGTGTTTATATGCGTGTAGTGTATGTGTACACTTTTGAGAGCAGGCAACAGATTTTCATTTTTAATGTGTGCCAGTGCACTCACAATAATAATAAAAAAAAATGACAACAAAGTTTATTTTATTTTATGCCACCAAACCTAAGGAACTGTCCCTGCTGCTTATATTGCAAAAACATCCAATAATTCCAGGCTCAAAGTGTTAAGGATCTAAAACATAATACAGTACTCCTTGACATACAACCGTTCATTTAGTGACTGTTTGACATTAACAACGGCACTGAAAAAAGCGACTTACGGCCATTTTTCACACTTACGACCGTCGCAGCATCCCCACGGTCAGGCTATCAAAATTCAGACGCTTGGTCACGGACTCGTACTTACGACGGTTGCAGCGTCCCCCTGGGTCACGTGATCCCCTTTGGCGACCTTCTGACAAGCAAAGCCCACGGGGGGGAGCCAGATTCACTTAACAACCGTTTTACTAACTTAACAACCGAAGTTATTCATTTAACAACGGTGGCAAAAAAAAAGGTGGTAAAATGGGGCCAAAATCGCTGAACGACTGTCTCACTGAGCAACAGAAATTTGGGTGCTCAATTGCTGTCGTAAGTCGAGGACTGTCTTAACTTGCTGCTCAACCCAAAGCCTCGCATGGCGACCTCACTTACTGAAATGAGGGAGGCCTGGAATCTCCGATGCCGCCAGTTCGCTCTAGGGAGGATGGCAATTCCGGCTGACTCTCGGCACAGATGGACCCGGCGTCCGAATGGGATCCCTCAGCAGACACCAGCTGGAAAAAGAAAGGTCAGAGAAGATAAGCCGGCTGGGAGAGAGGAGAAAATGTTCCATTGGGAAGGGAAGAACAGGCAAGGTTCCTGCAAAATATCAAAGCAATCCTTAGTTCTAATGCAGTGGTTCTCAACCTTTTTAATGTCGCGACCCCCAACCGGTCGTAAGTCGAAGACTACTCAACCGGTCGTAAGTCGAGGACTACTCAACTGGTGCAGCACCGTTTGCAGAATGGGACTTTTGCCGGGCTCAGCAGGGCAGAGACAGCCTGGACAATTCCTATTGGCTTTTGAAAGCCAATAGAATTAGACTCTATTCAAGAGAGTCTATTCTATTGGCTTTCAAAAGCCAATAGAATAAAAGGAAGTAGCACAGCTAAGGAAAAGGGGGGGAAAAATGGCGGACTGCGTTGTTTGGCGACCCCCGTGAAATGGTCGTTCGACCCCAAATGGGGTCCCGACCCACAGGTTGAGAACCGCTGGTCTAATGCCTTGTTTATCAACATGGGCAACTTTGAAGATGTGTGGACAGTATGATGATGGTGTGGGAATTCTGGGACTTCACACAAACTGGCTGGGAAATTCTCTGAGTTGAAGTCCGCACCTGCTGGATACAACAATGGCACCCCCGCCCTGCCTCGCCTTGCCTCACCCCGCAGGACGAGCCTCCTGCCCACTGCCCCACCTGCCAGAGACCCCCTGGATCTCCCCCAACCCTGCCCGGCCCCCAGAGGCGTCCCTCCCCATGAGCAACATCGAGGTGACCACGCCCACCTTGGCCACACCCACCCAGTCTGCCATGACCACACCCATGCCCCTCCAGTAGGCCACGCCCACCTGGCCCCCAGCGATAAGTAAGTGGGTTTTGGGGTTGCAGTTTGGGCACTCGGTCTCTAAAAGGTTCGCCATCACTGACTTAGAACTAAGGAGGAATTTCCCGACAGGGAGAACAGTTAACCAGTGGAACAACCTGCCTCCAGAAGCGGTGGATGCTCCAACTCTGGAAGTTTTTAAGAAGAAGCTGGACAGCCATTTGTCCGAAATGGTATAGGGTTTCCTGTCTGAGCAGGGGGTTGGACTAGATGACCTCCAAGGTCCCTTCCAACTTTATTATTATTACTATTAACCAGAAAAATAATTCTGTAAATAGGTTTTCCATTGAAGGTGTATATGTGATTTGCAGGAAGCTCTACTTAACCACTGCACTTGGACTGGCAATGTTATTGCTAAGCACCGCAGTCAAATGAAACCACGTGTGACTGTGCCAGACTTACGACGTCAGTTCCCCTCTGGTCATTAAGTGAATCACTCACAGTCATTAAGTTAAACATGAGCAGTTTTGAAGACCATGGTGAAATTTTCTCCATCAGAATAATAATTCCCATTATGTACAAATGCAAACAAAGATGTCTGAGCAGGGGGTTGGACTAGAGCAGTGTTTCTCAACCTTGACAATTTTAAGGCATGTGGACTTCAACTCCCAGAATTCCACAGCCAGCATTGCTGGCTGTGGAATTCTGGGAGTTGAAGTCCACATGCCTTAAAATTGTCAAGGTTGAGAAACACTGATGTAATTCTAACTGTAATTCTAAGAGTAAAACATAAGAAGGAAAATGGTTGCATCTCCATATGTTGTCAAAGCAAAATTCTGGGAGCTGAAGTCCACATGCCTTAACATTGTCAAGGTTGAGAAACACTGGACTAGATGACCTCCAAGGTCCCTTCCAACTCTGATTCTGATTCAGATTCTGTTCTCCTCTCCTCTACACTACTTGGTCCTTCTCTAACTCAGCCCAGCTATTTCACAGGCTTGTTGCTGTGAGGAGAAAGGTGCAAAAGGATTGCCTGTCTGCTGGTTTAAGCTGCTGAACAAAGAGATGGGAGGTGAGTCTGAGAAATAAAAAAGGGTGGGGTCCTTGGTGTTCTCCGAGCTTGTTTGCCAACACTGATGATGTTATGTAGTTGGGTAATGAAATGTACGCAAGAGATTATGGTGGAATATTCAAAGAATTTTCAGAAGAAAGATAAACTTTACCCCACAATTGTTTTTGTTAGGTATTGTTTCTGATTGTGACAGTAAAGAGATTATATTGATGTTAAATTTAATCACAGCCGCCAGGTTGTTAGTAGGGCAATGCTGGAAGAAGGAATCTTTGCCTACTTTGCAAGAGTGGTTTCTTAAAGTTTCTTATTTGGCGGAAATGGCAAAAGATTTCGGCTTTCTTGAAAGATCAATCGCAAGAGAAGTATTTCCTGGTATGGAAAAAAATGGATAGATTTCATACAATATAAGTTGGATATAAAAAAATACTACTTAGTTTTTGAATAATTTATATTTAAAATTTAAGATAATTTAAAGACATTTTTTTTAATTTTTTTATTTTTCTTTTTTTATTTGATTTTTTCTTTTTCTGTTTCTTTTTTCTTTCTTCTTGTATTTTTTTTATATATATTGTTGTTAACTATTTTATAATTTGTTTAATTAATGTATTTAGTTTTGTTTATGGTTTATATGTGTCTTAAGATTTTTTAAAAAATTTTTTTAATTAAGCCTGTATTCAGCCCTGGGAAGGTCAGGGGAGGGTAGGGGAGGGTTAGGAGGGTTTGGGGAAGAGAATTTTTTTGTAAAACTTAAAAATTTTCAATTAAAAAAAAAATGTACGCAAGAAAACAACCAAGCTCAGAGACCACCAAGGACCCCACAGTCTCCTCCTTCTCCTCTTCCTCCTCCTCCCCCCCCCCTTCTAACACTGATGACGTTACCTAGCCTGGCCATGGAACATCTGCAAGGATACACACAGCCCCCATTACCAAATACCAAGCAGGGTGGATTTAATTCTCCCAGGGCTTCTCAGCCTCTTATGTCTTTTCCCACTGCCGCGTTGCAATTAAGACGTTTCACCCCAAAGAGGCTTTTGCCTCCCTTTCAAGTTTCCACAATTTTTTTTTCCGCGTTTTTAGTACACTGCTTCTTGATTTGCAGGGCCTTAAAAGCTGGCTTTCCTCTCACTGCAGCGGACAATCAAAACCCTTCACTGTGCTTTTGTAAAAAAAAAAAAAAAAAAAAGTCAGCCAACAAAAAAAGAAAAACATTCACAGGGCGAGCAGGGTTTAACTCAGTGGTTCTCAACCTTTTTAATGCTGTGACCCCCCCCCCAACCGGTCGTAAGTCGAGGACTACTCAACCAGTCGTAAGTCGAGGACTACTCAACTGGTGCAGCACCATTTGCAGAATGGGACTTTTGGTGGGCTTAGCAGGGCAGAGCCAGCCCGGACAATTCCTATTGGCTTTTGAAAGCCAACAGAATTAGACTCTATTCAAGAGAGTCTATTCTATTGGCTTTCAAAAGCCAATAGAATAAAAGGGAGGAGCACAGCTAAGGAAAAGGGGGGAAAAAATGGCGGACTGCGTTGTTTGGTGACCCCCGTGAAATGGTCATTCGACCCCAACTGGGGTCCCGACCCACAGGTTGAAAACCACTGGTTTAACTACACGCAGTGTTTCTCAACCTTGACCATTTTAAGGCCTCTGGACTTCAACTCCCAGAATTCCACAGCCAGCAATGCTGGCTGTGGAATTCTGGGAGTTGAAGTCCACAGGCCTTAAAATGGTCAAGGTTGAGAAACACTGAACTACAGAAAGTTGAACGGCCTCCAGCTGTGTCTCAGGGACTTCCTATTCTCCCAGGTTCTCTCGCAACCTTCCCCCCCCCATGCCAAAGGCTTTGTACAACTGCTGAATCATCACTACTCAATGATTCATGGTGGAAGGAAAGAGGAGTTGGAGAGGAGGGGAGGATCTAAGGCAGGGGGTCAAACTCAATTTCATTGAGGGCTGCATCAGCATTCCGGTTGCCCTAGGGGGCGCGGGGGGGGGCGACCGGGGGGGGGGCGGCCTACTGGCTGGGCATGGATGGAGTGGGTGTGGCCTACTGGGTGGGCACGGCCAGCTCTACATCGTTGTCTCTCTTTTGCAAATTGTTTATTTTCCCTGCTGTTTTACAAGCTGTTCAGTCCAGCTCTTTTTCTGTTTGTCCGGTGCCTGAGAAGCATCTGCTGGCCATAATGGACGATGTGTGTTGAGGGAAGTTAGCCCAGAGAAAGAAATATTAAAAAGGTCAGAAAAATGTTTTTTTTTCCCTCAAAAGGACTTTTTAAAACCAAACCTGGCCCCAAATCTATCTCTCTGCCCCAAGCAAGACTTTAGCCCCCATACAAATGCAGATGTAAAACCATCAGAAAGTTGGAGCCAGAGCAATCAAGAAGACAAAGGAGAAGATCTGCATACCCCCCCCCCAAACTCTAGGAGTCATTAGCCCCATCACCTGAGAAGCAGGATACGATAATAGGATTAAACCACAGATATCAAGGCCTAGACAAACACCCAGAAACAGCCTCAAGGTTCATGCCACAGGAACAGGAAACTATTCCAAACAAATGGCTAGAGGGGGTATAAAAGCCTACTGCCCCATGTGCTCAGCCCTTCTCTCTCCTCTGCACTTTCCTGAGGAACCATCTTTCTGCAATAAACTGTAACCTTCTTCCCAAAGCAGTCACCATGTTTGCTTACTTATTCCCGGCTTGGATGAACCAGGATGAAGACTTTACTTCTAACAGTGTGTTGCATTCAGCTTCACAAATTCTAACCAGCTGCATTTTAATAGTATGCTAAAGGCTTGGGAATATTCAGTTCAATCGGAACAGAGCTGGGAAAGAGCTTGGAGGTCATCTAGTCCAACCCCCTGCTCAGGCAGGAAACCCTATTACCACAGGGGTGTCAAACTCAATTTCATTTGAGGGCCGCATCAGCACTGCAGTTGCCTTTGGGGGGGGCTGGGGGGTGCAGCCTAATGGGTGGGCATGGATGGAGTGAGTGTGGCCTACTGGGTGGGTGTGGCCAGCTCTACATCGTTCGCATCAAGGGTGCCTGTGGGGGCCTGGGCAGGAGTGGGACAGATCTGAGGGTCTCTGGCAGAAGGGGGTGGGACCGGGGCAAGCGCCAAGGCATGGTCCATTTCTTCATTCCTCACAAAGGGGGACACCTCCCCAGCATATCACCCAGAGGGCAGGGCCGACGCGGCAGGGGCCGGTCCCTCGCTGTTTCCAGGCGGCCTTGTGGAGCTAAGACTGAATGCGTTTCAGCATAGATGGCCACCACAAAATTGTACATTGGCTCTCGGCCGGCCTGGGCCAGGGCCAAGGCAGTGGGGGCCGTTCCCTCACTGTTTCCAGGATGGCTTCGCGGGCCACATGAAACCACTTCGCGGGCTGCATCCGGCCCCCGCGGGGGCCTTGTGTTTGACACGTCTGAGCTAAGGGCCTTAAGACTGTAAAGCTGCAAGGGCAACAAGAAAAAGTACAGGCAGATTGCGGCGTACCACCCCAACGGACCCCAAAATTTCGGTTGCTAAGTGAGACATTCTTGGGTGAATCACTGCACTTTTTTTTAATTAGTCACACGGTGGTTAAGTGAATCTGGCTTCCCCCATTGACTTGTTTCAGGTCACAAAAGGGGAATCACATGACCCTCGCGACACTGCAACCGCCGTTAAGTACATGCCAGTTGCCAAGCCTCTGAATTTTGATCACGTGACCACAGGGATGCCGTAATGGTCGTAAAGATGAAAAACGGTCGTTAAGTCGCTTTTTTCCAGGGAGGGAACTTCAAACGGTCACTAAATGAACGGTCACCTTACAACCACAACGGAGACTGGAATAGCCCCCACACACGTTGGGTGCCGTTGTGACGCGAGTCATCGGTGTGACCAAATCTGATTTTATGACCATTTTTATCACGGCCGTTAAGCAAATTGCACGGTCATTAAGCAAACCCAGCTTCCTCAATTGATGTTTTTTTATTTCGGAAACCAGCTGGGAATGTCACAAATCCTGATGACGTGACTGCAGGATGCTGCCAACCTGTGGTAAATGTGAGCCGGTGGCCAAGGGTCCAAATTGTAAAGACATGACCGTGGGGGGTGGTTGTGACGGTCGTAAGTGTGAAGACAGGCCATTGCAACTTGGATGTTAAATTTAGGCAGAAGAAAAATATCAAAGGTATAAGTACAGATTAGGCCAGGGGTAGGCAACCTTGGCTCTTTTATGACTCGTGAACTTCAACTCCCAGAATTCCTGAGCCAGCATGGCTCAGCTTGGAAGCCTCTCCCTTTCCCCTCAGCGTGGCTGGCTCAGGAATTCTGGGAGTTGAAGTCTACGAGTCACAAAAGAGCCAAGGTTGCCTACCCCTGGATTAGGCGAAACCTGGTTCAAAAACAGTAACTGTGAGAGGGACCTTGGAGTCCTAGTGGACGATCACTTAAACGTGAGCCAGCCGTGTGTAGCAGCAGCCAAAAAAAGCTAACACAATCCTTGCTTGTATAAACAGAGGCATAGAATCAAAATCACGTGAAGTATTGGAATCGCTTTATAAATCCTTAGTAAGGCCACACCTGGGATCCAGTTTTGGATACCACATTGCAAAAAAAAAAAAAAAAAAAGATGTTGAGACTTTGAAAAAAAAGTTCAGAGAAGAGCAACTAAGATGATTAAAGGCATGGAGACGAAAACATTTGAAGAATGGTCGGGTATGGCCAGTCTAGAAAAAAGAAGGACTGGGGGGAGGGGACATGATAGCAGCCTTCCAATATCTGAGAGACTGCCACAAAGAAGAGGGGGTCAACTTATTCTCCAAAGCACCTGAAGCCAGGACAAGAAACAACGGTTGGAAACGGATCAAAGAGAGAAGCAACCTAGAAATTTCCTAACAGTAAGGACAATTAACTAGTGGGACGGCTTTGGCTTCAGAAATTGTAGGGGCTTCATCACTGGAGGTTTTTAAGAAGAGACTGGACAGCCACCTGTCTGAAATGGCACAGGGTCTCCTGCTTGAGCACGGGGCTGGAATTGGGTATGTCCAGTCTAATGAAGAGAAGGACGAGGGGGGACATGATAGCAGCATTCCAATATCTCAGGGGCTGCCACAAAGAAGAGGGGGTCAAGCTATTCTCCAAAGTGCCTGAACGCAGGACAAGAAGCAATGGATGGAAACTGATCAAGGAGAGAAGCAACCTAGAACTAAGGAGAAACTTCCTGACAGTTAGAATAATTAACCAGTGGAACAGCCTGCCTCCAGAAGCTGTGAATACTCCAACACTGGAAATTTTTAAGAAGAGATTGGACTGCCATTTGTCCGAAATGGTATAGGATTACCTGCCTGAGCAGGGGGTTGGACTAGATGACCTCCAAGGTCCCTTCCAACTTTATTATTATTATTATTGATCATCGCATAGTCAGCCAGATGTTCAGACTGGATTTGGCATTTTGTCTACCTATCGAGTCCTTACCCAGGACCTGGGATAGGCAGATGTGGATGTTTGATGGTATTACAGATATCGTCGCAGGATGGAAGCAGTTCCTAATAAGGCCGCCTTTTGCAATTGACTAATAGCGAATTTGTCAATGCCAATTGTGTTCAAGTGGTGCTCCAGTTGTTTTGGGATTGCACCCAAGGAGCCTATGACTATTGGTACTACCCTTGCTTGCTTTTGCCACAGTCTTTCTATTTCTATTTGTAGGTCTTTGTATTTTGTTATCTTCTCCAGTTCTTTCTCTCTATTCTGCTGTCTCCAGGCACTGCCACGTCCACTATCCAGACTTTTTTGTCTTTCTTATCGACAATTGTTAAGTCTGGGGTGTTATGTTGCAGGTGCTTGTCTGTTTGAATTCTGAAGTCCCAGAGCAGTTTAATTTTATCATTTTCTATGACTTTCTCTATTTTATGATCCCACCAGTTTTTGCTTACAGGCAAATGATATTTTTTGCAGATCTTCCAATGCACCATTGTTGCTACTTTGTCATGCCGCTGCTTGTAGTCAGTTGTGCAATCTTCTTGCAACAGCTTACCAAGTGGTCCACTGTTTCTTCAGCTTCTTTGCATAGGCGGCACTTACTGTCTGTTGCTGCTCTCAATTTTGACTTTATATGCATTTGTCCTTAAGGCTTGGTCTTGTGCAGCCAGAATTAGTCCCTCGGTCTCTTTCTTCAATTTTCCTGCTCTTAGCCATTGCCAGGTTTTATTATTATCTGCTTTCCCAGCTATTTTTTTCATGTATTGGCCATGTAGTGCTTTGTCTTCCCATGCCTCTATTCTGTTCTTCATTTGGTCTTTCTTGTAGGCCAGTTTGGTCTCTCCAGTAGTTAGTAAGCCTTCCTGATATACTATTTTCAGGGCATCTTCATCATTGTTCTTCAGATATTCTTCCAAAGCCATTTTTTTTTCTTCAACCATCTGATGTACTTGTAGCATTCCACGCCCACCTATTTGCCTTGGTAGATAAAGTCTATCAATGTCACTGCGTGGATGAAGGGCATGATTCATTGTCATTATTTTTCTGGTCTGCCTATCCATTGCTTTTAGTTCTGCTTGAGTCCAGTCCACTATTCCAGCTGTGTACCTAATGACTGGGATTGCCCAGGTGTTGATTGCCTTTATGATATTTCCTCCACTGAGTTTGGATTTTAAGATCTATTATTATTATTATTATGGATCATCGCACAGTCAGCCAGATGTTCAGTCTGGATTCGGCATTTTGTCCACCTATCGAGTCCTTACCCAGGACCTGGGATAGGCAGATGTGAATGTCTGATGGTATTACAGGATGGAAGCAGTTCCTAGTAAGGCCGCCTTTTGCAATTGACTAATAGCGAATTTGTCAATGCCAATGGTGTTCAAGTGGTGCTCCTGTTGTTTTGGGATTGCACCCAAGGAGCCTATTACTATTGGTACTACCCTTGCTTGCTTTTGCCACAGTCTTGCTATTTCTATTTGTAGGTCTTTGTATTTTGTTATCTTCTCCAGTTCTTTCTCTTCTATTCTGCTGTCTCCAGGCACTGCCACGTCCACTATCCAGACTTTTTTGTCTTTCTTATCGACAATTGTTAAGTCTGGGGTGTTATGTTGCAGGTGCTTGTCTGTTTGAATTCTGAAGTCATCGTCGTCATCATCATCATCATCATCATCATCATCATCATCATTATTATTATTATTATTATTATACCTCCGAGGTTCCTTCCAGCTGTATTCTATTCTTAAATGGATGATTATAAATTTAGGATTACTTGTAAATGCATTCACTCTCCTTACAGCATTCAACAAATCCATCCACCAACTTGCCCAGGGACAATTCCAACTACAGATAGTCCTTGACTTACAGCCATTCGTTTAGTGGTTACAAGAAGACCGAAAAAGTGACTTAGGAACAGTTTTCACAATTACGATAGCAGCACCATCCCCATGGTCACGCGATCATGGTTTTCAGCACTGGCATCTCTTTATGACAGTTGCATGTCCCGGGATCACGTGTTCACCATTTGTACGCTTCCCAGTCGATTCTGACAAGCAAAGTCAAGTGGAGTTTGACACACGTGCGTGCCAGTGCCTGCCGCTCTCACCGACGGAGCTGCTTGCACACACTTGCCTATTATTTGGACGGCCCGGTTGTGAATGGGCCACAGTCCAATACCAGGCTATAACCCGGGCATTGGGGGGCCCCAATTTAGGTGAAATGAGCAACCTAGAAATGTAATAAATAAATAAATACCCCTCCCCATCTTCAAGGGAGGAACGTCTAGATCAGGGAAGAAACACTGGGAATGGGGCATGCTGAATGGGATCAAACACCTCTGACCTTGGGAAGAGTAAAAAAGATATTCTGCCAAACAGGCTACTTACCCATGACACCACACGCCCATTGAAGCAGGGAAGCCTTGCGTTGTCGTCTGAAATTTCCTCTTTCACAACCCTGTTTTTAAAGAGAGAAAGCAAAAAGAAAAAGAAAGAAAGAAATGATATCGTGCACAACGATGCTACTAGGGTCTTCAGAAGGTGAAATATCCTGTGGATCAATACTATGGATAATATCCCTATTTCACGTCCTATGGATAATTCTTAACAAGGAGGATGGATAGTGCTGAAGCATTATGTTCTTCAGCGTTACAACCCTGAAGTAAGAGTCAGAAACCCCAAATTCTCCAAAAATAAATAAATAAATAAAATAAAGTGATTTCGATGTGATGGTGAATTCTTTTTTTGTTGTTGTTGTTGGGCAGCATATTAAATAAAGCTTTGGAATGTGAGGCACAAGAATAGAATAGAATAAGAAATGGAATGGAATGGAATGGAATAAGGAATAGAATAGAATAGGGAATAGAATAGGGAATAGAATAGGGAATAGAATAGAATAGAATAGAATAGAATAGAATAGAATAGAATAGAATAGAATAGAATAGAATAGAATAGAATAGAATAGAATAAGGAATGGAATGGAATGGAATGGAATGGAATGGAATAGAATAGAATAGAATAGAATAGAATAGAATAGAATAGAATAGAATAGAATAGAATAGAATAGAATAGAATAGAATAGAATAGAATAAGGAATGGAATGGAATGGAATGGAATAGAATAGAATAGAATAGAATAGAATAGAATAGAATAGAATAGAATAGAATAGAATAGAATAGAATAGAATAGAATAGAATAGAATAGAATAGTGGTTCTCAACCTGTGGGTCGGGACCCCATTTGGGGTCGAACGACCATTTCACGGGGGTCGCCAAACAAGGCTGTCCGCCATTTTTCCCCCTTTTCTTTGGCCATGCCCCTGACACCCGATGATGTATAAGTGGTTGGGGGTCACCACAACATGGGGAGCTGTATTATGGGGTCGCGGCATTAGAAAGGTTGAGAACCACTGGAATAAAATAAGAAATGGAATAGAATAGAACAGAACAGAATGTGAATGCCTTTTGTGACCTTCTCACAAGCAAAGTCAATGAGGAGGCCAGATTCACTTAACAACTGTGTTACTAACTTAACAAGTGCAGCGATTCACTTAACAAACGTGGCACAGAAAGTCATAAAACGGGGCCAAAATTCACTTCACAAATCTTTCACTTGGGGAACAAAAACTTTGGGCGTGCCTGGCTGAGGAATTCTGGGAGTTGAAGTCCACCAGTCATAAAAGGTTTGAAGACCCCTGCTCAAAAGGGTCACAAAAGGGGTCTTTGTTCCCCCACAGGCAGGCGGCCCTTTGAAAGATGAAAGCAGAAGAAGCTGTCAATTGAGGAGGGTCTGCATAAGCTTTTTTTTGCCTCCATCTAACCACAACTCACTTTGGCTTTCGTTAAGGAGGCTGTCAAACTGGCCCCGCCTCAGATTTCAAGGGCAGGCAGGCAATCCTCACGCTGCTGCCAAAACGGAGTTTGAGGCCTTGAGGAATGTGCTTTGCAAGCAGGAAAACTCATTCCTGCAACAACCTCAACTCAGCAAGAGGGCAAGGAAGGAGGAGGGAGAGGAGGGGGGGCGGCCTTGGGCACTTTCTCCTGCACACCTAGGAGAGAAAAGGATCACCACCAAACCGCTACCACAAACACCACAACTCCGTCATTCCCAAACAATCGCCAGTCTAGTGGACAGGGAAATACGTGGCTTACGGCAAAGTTGACTCAGCACATTTCACATCAATCGGGACAGAGCTGGAGCAAGGGCACCTTGGAGGTCTTCTAGTCTTTTATGGCAGGGGCGTCAAACTCAATGTCATTGGGGACCGCATCAGCATTGCGGTTGCCCTCAGGGGACTGGGGGGGTGTGGCCGGGGGGGGGGGGCGGCCTACTGGGTGGGCGTGGATGGAGTGGGTGTGGCCTACTGGGTGGGCATGGCCAGCTCTACATCGTTTGCATCAAGGGGGCCTGTGGGGGCCTGGGCAGGAGTGGGACAGATCTGAGGGTCTCTGGCAGAAGGGGGTGGGACCGGGGCAAGTGCCAAGGCATGGTCCACTGGAGGAGCCTCACTGTTCCTCTCAGGCCATGCGAGGGGGGGGGGGGGGGTTTGGTGGTGCGGGCTGCCCGGAGCCCTGGGCAGCAGAGGTCAAATGCCCAGCCTGGCCCTTGAGCACCCACGGCACCAAGCCCAGCCCCACTTCCTCAAGACTGCTGCTCAAGGTTCTCCTGGTTCCTCGCTGTTTCCAGACGGCCTTGTGGAGCTAAGACTGAATGCCTTTCAGCATAGATGGCCACCACAAAATTGTACATTGGCTCCCGGCCGGCCTGGGCCAGGGCCAAGGCAGAGGGGGCCGTTCCCTCACTGTTTCCAGGATGGGTCTTATATTAATTTTTGCTCCAAAAGATGCGTTAAGGCTTATTTTCCAGTTAGGGCTTATATTCAGGGAAATACGGTACTAAATGTGTCCCATCACGATCTTAACTGGGGCTTATGTTTGGGGTGGGGCTTATATTACGAGCATCCTGAAAAATCACGCTGGGGCTTATTTTCAGGGAAATACGGTAGTTCTTACTCGGCCTGTATGGGATGGAGGTCAACTTGCTTACAGATAGTCCTCGACTTACAACCGATCCTTTAGCCACCATTCAAAGTTACAGCAGCACTGAAAAAAGTGACGTATGACCAGTTTTTACCCGACCGTCGCAGCATCCCAGTGGTCACGTGATCAACAGTCTGACGCTTGGCAACTGGCTCATATTATATGGCGGTTGCAGCGTCCCGGGGTCACGCGATTCCCCCTTTTGCGACTTTCCCGCCAGCCAAATCAACGGGGAAGCCGGACTCGCTTAAGGACAGTTTGTCCAATTTAACTACCGTGATTCACTTAACAACCGCGGCAAGAAAGGTCGTAAAATGGGGCCAACTCGGCTTAACCAGCGTTTCACTTAGCAACAGACATCTGGGGCTCAATCATGGTCGTAAATCGAGGACTCCCTGTATCTGCATAATTTTTTCGAACACCATGCTTGGGCTGCCTTCCCTGCAGCTCAAACACGACAACTTTGATCAATAGGATAGCCAGATTCTAGTGGGAATCTCAGAAAGAGAGAGAGAGAGAGAGAGAGAGAGAGAGAGAGAGAGAGAGAGAGAGAGAGAGAGGGAGGGATGGAGAGAGAGAGAGTGAGAGAGTGAGAGAGAGAGACTGTTATGAGGGGCTTCAAAGCTACTTTCTTTCTTTTTTTAAACATCAAAGAAAAGGTGTCCCTTTCCCAGTCCAGGAAACCCACTCCAGTTTATTATCAGATCCTGCCAACGACCTTTTCTCTTTGACCAGTGAAATGACTTAGTGGGAAAATAAGCAGATTTAGGACAGGGGTGGTACGCTATGGCAACTTTATGACCTCTGGACTTCAACTCCCAGAATTCCTGAGCCATGCTGGCTCAGGAATTCTGGGAGTTGAAGTCCACAGGTCGTAAACTTGCCCTAGTTATCCACCAATGAGCTAGCCCAGGGGTGGGCAACCTTGGCTCTTTTATGACTTGAGGACTTCAATACCCAGAATTCCTGAGCCAGTCATGCTGATTCAGGAATTCTGGGAGTGGAAGTCTACAAGTCATAAAAGAGCCAAGGTTCCCCACCCTTGAAGCCTATTCTTACAAAAGAAACTCCAAATGGCGTGGCATTCGTAGGAGACGGCCATCGTAGAGCAGCGGTTCTCAACCTATGGGTCGCGACCCCATTTGGGGTCGAACGACCATTTTACGGGGGTTGCCAAACAACGCGATCCGCCATTTTTCCCCCTCAGGGGGCGGTACCGCGCATGCGTGCCGCGTCCGTATGACGGGGGTCGCCGTCACACAAAGGTTGAGAACCGCTGTCGTAGGGGGATGCAAGAGGGAGCATTACCTCACGACCCCGTTCTTCCCAATACAGGTAGCCCTCGACTTACAACCACTCGTTTAGCGACCGATCGAATTTATAACCCTGAAAAAAGTGACTTATGACCGTTTTTCACATTGATAACCATTGTGCACCCCCATGGCCACGTGACCAAAATCCGGGCACTTGGCAACTGGCTCATATTTATGATGTGTCCAAGGGTCATGCGATTTATCCCTTGCGACCGCCTGATAGGCAAAGTCAATGGAGGTGCCGTATTCACTTAACAAACACGCCACTGGCTTAACCAACTGCAGTGTTTCACTTAACAACCGTGACAAGGACGGTCACACAAGGGGCAAACTCGTTCGACAACCGTCTAGATCCGAAACTGAAATTTGGGGCTCAATGTAAGTTGAGGATTACCTATACTTACACAGCCCATCTGGTTAAGCCGGAAAACCCAGGTAGGGTGTGAGGCAGGGTTCGTTCTTAGAGGAGACCCCAGAAGGATATGCCAAGGCTGTAGGAGGGACTGTTAGGTTGGAAAAAAACCACAACCTGACAGGAAAGCTACAGCAAACAGCGTCTTCCAGCCTGCCAAGAAAGCTACGTGGACGGATCCAACTCAACTCAAGAGGAAATTTTATCCTGTGTCAAACCAGATGGTGTGGGGAGTTTCATGGTCATGTGCACCCCCAGTCTGGCAAGGAAAAACGTCACGTTCAGCTCAGAGATCCACACACAACCACCCAGAACAGATTGGGTTCCCGTTTAACTTCATACAACTCTGGTGTTGCCTTGGTAGACAAATCAGACAACACAGCCAAGGGTTGTTTGTAATAAAATGTACTCTGGATGATAAAAATAAAAAATAAATCCTGTTTCACACTTAAGAAGAGCCACTGCCAGTTGGTTTAAACCAGGGGTCTTCAAACTTGGCCCTTTTATGACTTGTGGACTTCAACTCCCAGAATTCCTTAGCCAGGCATGCCTGGCTGAGGAATTCTGGGAGTTGAAGTCCACAAGACATAAAAGGGCCAGGTTTGAAGACCCCTGCTCAAAAGGGTCACAAAAGGTACGCCGGCTGAGGAATTCTGGGAGTCGAAGTCCACAAGTCATAAAAGGGCCAAGTTTGA